TGCCATAACGGTCTGCACACTCATGAATCCCCTGCGCCGTGTGCAGATCTCCACATGCGTTCAGAAGCAGCCCTGTATGATCAGCTCTCTCCGTTAATCCCCGGGTTTGCTGTAAAAAGCGTTTGAGCGCACCCTGTGTGTAGTGCTTTGGCTGTGTGCTTGAGTGCAAGGCAGCTGAACCCAGCTTCTCACCCTGAGCCCTAAGATGTTGGCAAGCTGGTAAGTGTACTCCGATCCCCGCCACAGCGGCTCAGGAGGGGCTTCCCTCTGACCTTCCAGTATTTACAAAGTCATTCCTGTTGTGGGTGTTACTGTCGTTGTGGTTATTGTCACTATTTGCTGGTTTTCAATGATCAGACTTTGTCGTAGCATGTACTGTATTTGGATTTTGTTTTTCATTTTTTATGGGTTTTGTTAAGTTGTAGTGGAAAGAGTGCTTTGAATTGGTTGCAAGAATTGTAAGAGTACTGATGAATGGAAGAGGGACTTTAGCTTTCAGGTCTCCAGAGCAGTGCATGTCAGGTTCACTCCACTGAAAGTTTTACAGTGGGGAATTGATCATGGCTCTTCACATGCTGCAGTGAATACTCTGATAGAAGTAAATCATGGTTTAAAACTTCAGAAAACCACTGCAAAAGCTGGATAAAATGGCAGCTGTAGTACACAGATATCTAGGATAATGGCAGATGTTGCAGACACCAGATATCTGAAGTATGTAATCCAAGCTCACATATCCCAGCTCAGGGCCTCTTCTGGACTCAGTACTGAAACAAGGACACATGGGGTCATAATGTGAACCGAGAATGGAATCCAGAAAGTACTTCATTACACCGTGCAGGTGTCTGGAACAGGCTCCCTAGGCACCTGTTGGAGGACCCAACTCTGATGGGCTTAATAGCCTCCTCTTGCTTGTGTCTTGGCATGTTCTTATTAAGAACAAGGAGAAGTGATTGAATTGGTCCTGTTATCATTTGATTTAGTTCAGTAAGATCTGAGTTGCAGTGAAACGCCATCAGATATTCTGGCCCTCCTGTAACATTGTTCCAGGTTGGACATCAGGGCTTCTGTGTCCTGGCTTTGCTCCTTGTTTGTCTCAGTGATTTTACTCCAATCATTAACCTTCGTTAGGTATTACAGTCTAATGACCAAATTCACAGAAAGCTGCCAGTTCCAGGAGACTCTAAAAAAGCTCACAGGTTACATGTAATCTCCAGATTTCTCAGGGCCTGGAAACAGTGGAATGGTTTAATTATTTTTAATTATTATTAGTGGAATTAAGCAATCAATTACATAAATGAAAGCTCAGCTTGAGTGAAAATTATAGCAGGGTTTTGCAGAGTAGTGAGAATGTTGCCGTGGTATAGTTTTGACTGAAAACACGTACTGTATGTTACAGGGTGTGTATTCACAACAAGCATCTTAGGGCACAGAAACAATCCTGAGAGCTGGTCTGCACACCTGCGAGTGACTGGAGAAATCACTTGGAGTTAAAGAAAGATTTGACACCAAATTGGAAGCCAATCAACTTTCAATGCACTCTTTCCTTTATTATTATTATTATTATTATTATTATTTAGAAAATACTAAACCTGTATGTTTTAGGAATTAAGGACATTTCCAAAGTCGCTTTCTTCTTAAATTGGGGCAGGTGGAAATCTCTTATGCTTGGCGAGTCTTGAAATAAGCAACTGCAGGACACACGGTATCACATATCTTAACGATCTCCCCCTCGTTTGTCCTGGCGTTCCTTATTTCAACATAAGCAGGCGCGTTTTCCACCACAGAGGTTAAACGGACTCTCAGCGGCTTTGGAAATAGCTCTCTTGCGCTGGACGAGAGAGTTGGAAATCAGATTTTTGTCTTTTCTTTAACAGTTGTCCGTTTATCCTACATTTGCTTCTTTCTGTGTTGGTTTCACTGTGCGTCTGGTTTTGGTTTCGAAGCGAGGCGGCAGGGAGCGTGGAGCTGCGGACCTGCGATGGGACAGACTCCTCGCGCTGTAGCTGGCCCTGCCCGCCGCCGCCGGCTCTCCGGCCTCTCCGGCCTCTTCCCGGCCTGTGTTTTTTTAATTTATTTATTTCTTCTGTCTCATCTTTCTTTGTTTTTTGCATGTGCAGTTTTGTAAAGCAAAATCGAGGTGCTCTATCACGCAGCTCGTCCGTGTCCAGCGTTAACTCACCGTGAGTTTGCTCTCTGTTTTAAAATATTCTCCAACCCTTTAAAACCCTTTCCAGTATCCTGCCATTCTTCACATCATCTTGGGTCTTTCCTTCACTTTATCTCTATATATTCTCTACATCTCAGGGCTGAATGTTGTGCAGTGTATACATACACATATTTCTGTATCGCATCATGTAGGTATGTGTGTACAGTATATCAATACACTGACCTGAATTTTAATTGACCTCTCTATAGTAGCAGCTGCTCTCAAGAGCATTTTCCTTCCACTGTGATGCCTTTTCCCTCTGTCTCAGTTCATGCTTTTTTACTCTGACTTGTTAACTTTTCCTTTGCATCGGAATACTTGACAAATGTGTGTGAAGATACGAGTTGGTATCAAGACGTCCATCTGTTCCAAACTCTTGGACCCTTGATAGGTCGCAATTGAATGTAATTAGAAACCCCCTTCAGATGAGCTGAGGCTTTGCGTTTTGAAGATTTTCAGTCTGATGTCAAGTATTGTTTTGGAGAGGGATTCTCTATGATAGTGTTGCTAACATCCGATTAAGTAGAAGTGCTTACTGTGCTGCGGATGTTGTTTAAGTGCTGTGTTATAGGCACTCTGCAAAGACAGGAGACAGAAAAAAATGGTGATTATAGCCTCTTAGTAGTGGCTGTCCTGTTTTCAGTAACGAATGAATGAATCGAGTGATAAAGTGAATAATGGAATTTACATCTGTATTCGGCTCTTCCAGGAATAATTCCATGGTTTTTGTAAGAGGGTCTCCCACCCTCAGAGTCCAAACAATCCTGTTAGGTGCGTTCTGATGAGCTTGCTGAAGTACACAGAATATGTTAAAAGTATTAATTCGCTATGAGCTGTCGATGTGCTGCAATGTATGAGTTTGACTTATTCAGTTTAAAAGATTTATTGTATGCCTCACCAGTGGTGATTCTCTTGCGTGTAGGATGACAATATGAATGTCTCAGTGTGTTTTTCTAAAGCAGGAGGCAAACGCTCTCATCCCCGGAGGTTTGATATTTTCTCAGGTGCCCTTCTCCACTGCTTATTTACAAAGGAACTAGGTCAGTGCTGGCTGGGAGCAACCGAGGCTAGATTCAGGCTTGAACCAGAGAGCAGTCCGGCTATTTCAGGAGCTGCTGGCAGCCAGTCCGATTGGGTTCAGCAGAGTGAAACAGAGGGAAAGAGAGGAGAGAGCTGAGCTTTGGCAAGGAAGCTTATCCTCCTCCTGGAGGCAGCTACACCTGGCGTAGCTGCGTAGCAGCTCAAAAGATGGTGACCTGGTCGTTTAAAAGCAAACATTGTCATTTAACGTGTCTCAGCAGCCCGTACTCAGTCAGATCAGAAACCAACAACCCGGGACAGTAACCCCGCCGCAGTGGGGTCTCCGCGCCTCGCTGTACTGGGCCTCCGGGGCCGAGGGCACGTCCGCTGCCCCGGGGTGCACCCCCATGTCCTCCTCGCTGTCGCTTGAAGTGGTCCCCCCAGGCGGGGCCTTCGTGTCTCCTGTCATCTCCACTAATGCACAGTGATGCCTCTCTGAGCAGGGCTGACCTCTCACTGGTGTGTGGAGCTGAGAGGAAAGAAGTGTGACCGTTTCAAATTCATGCTTTGCAGAATCTACTCGCTGTTCTGGCGTCCTAGTGATTTTGTCCGTGCTATGAATATCATCAGTGGCTTTTGAGTGTGGAGCATGTCAGCCGTAATTGTGTGTGTGGGAGAGAGAGAATTTGTGTGTAGTTCCGGGAAGAGATTGCTGTGGTTACAATCTGTTCATCCATAACTTTAAAGATCTTCTGTCCCTTTGTTGTTTCATCTCTTCCTCGATACCCTTTTCATCTTAAACATGTCTCAGAAAGCAGCTGTTATTCAGTGTTGGTTACTGAACTCTAAGGCAACCAGGTGCATTTTCAAACAGAGTTATCCTTCTCTTTCTGTTAACCTGAGTTCATACTGCTGTTCACATGACGTTGGTGAATCGGCATTATTGAACACAGAAAAACATCAACACAAACAAGTCATATGGCATTGGTTGGAATCTGCAAAATATAAAACTAAATTTGCTTTCGAATGGAGAACTTGCTGTGCAAAAAGGGATCAGAGAGGAGGCAGACAGGGCAGGGGCACCCTGTTTGGAGAAACTGTGCATTTCCTTCACAACCAGAAAATTAAAAATAAATATATCAGAACAAAGCATGGAATCGGTGGCTACTTTCCTCGCTGTGTTTGGCTGTGTGACAATAACGGAGCTGTGCTGCTGCTTGACACTTGCAGCCGATGAGTGTCAGTCCTCTCTGAATGTTTGAGCCCAAACCATGAGGTTGAGGTGCTCGTCTCTCCCCACGTGATCAATTATAGTGATTGCATTGAGATTTAATTAACCGGCGTGCTTACAGTGCTATAACCAATCTGGGTTCTTTTTTTTTTCCAGTATGATAATTTTTTTCAGTTATTTCTATGATGTTTTGCATCTCCTCTGTTGCTCGTTCAAATTCATTTCCTTTGTTTTTTTTTGGTCTGCTCATTTTATTGGTAAGAGTCCTCTCCATCGTGCTAGTCCAAGTCACTCATCTGTACCTTCTTGCCCCTGTAAGAGCATGACTGTCTATAAACTGTGTGCCGTTACTATACTGTATGATACTGTATGTTGTTTTAGGAGTTATGTCTGCTCTCCTGCTCGTCGCGTTTTGAGGTACAGGTACTGCTTAGGATGTACAGTAACAGTGGTGACAGTGTATTTCGAACATCTATATACATTTCTCTTGAAATAATTGTCATTTGTTTTCTTGGAGCAGTACAGACAATGAACTTGACTCCCCTCTATAGTTAATGTCCCTCCTTCACTTCAGCAAGCAGCACTTCAGTGCACTGTAGCCGAGCTGACATCTCAGCCAGTTTCAAAGTAGTGTCAGTGAGGCGGGGGTAAGAGACGCTACAAAGCAAGGCGTTCTTCCAGTGCAGTGCTCCTGTCTTCACAAGGACAGGCAAGGTGGGGAACAGCATACAGCAGCACTGGACTGGAAACGCCCTCTGCAAAATGAGTGAAGTCCTACCTGGGTGTTAGACTGGGCTTTAAGTGCTCTCACCTCCAAAATGTGTGGGAGCTGTTACGGGCGTAACTCAAGATATACAACTAGTAGATCTATATAGTCAAGTAGAAAACAAAGTGCACGCACAGATCCTGGGTCAAGGAACTTGCTAATTTCTTGAAGTAAAGACCCTGGCTGGTATGAAGACCCGCAGGAGTGTGGGGCTCCAGTCCTGGCTCAGATTGCACAGACATTATTCACATAAAGACTTTGGTCAGTAGCGCAAATAATAATAACTGGCCATCAGTGGTGCCTTCCGGTCATTGAGGAATGCACTAGTCATGCCCATTTAAAGGGAAGGAAAGAGTCCACGTGCCTCCTGAGAGGCACCTGTTGCCTCTGAATTGCAGGGCAGTCCCATTGTCTTGTGTGGCTAGACAGAGGCTGGCATGAATTGTTTGGAAAGTACAATGTTACAAGAGATGTCGAATGGAATAGAAAAGTGCCCACATGTAACTGAAATCAGAACTGCCTGCAGTCTTCCAATGTCTTTCAAGCAAGTTCTGTTTCATAAAACAATTATAATAAAGCAGCAGTGTTTATTATGTAGATGTTGGCAGCACCAAGTGACAAGAAAATGTCATTATATCTTTACAAATACGAAAAATATAGTAGATTAATACACCACTTAGGTTTCTATGAAGTGAATGTTAATTGTAAAGAGCAATGTGTAAGAACAAGACCAGCACTGGCTCAGACCACTGTGTGTTCACTTCTTCACCTGTCACTGGTGCTCTGTGGTTGGCCAACCATGACTAAACCCAAGGAAAAAACATGACAACACAAGTGTGTTCCGAATACAGTGATTAAAACAGCACTGTGGGCCTTTCTCTCTGTTTAAGATCTAAACATCTGTCCTGCTGGCAGAGCTGACCTGACCCCGGAGTTCTGCTTGGCTTGTTTTTCAGTGAAAGATAAATATAACACAGTGCTCTTTGTCTTGAGCTTTCTCACCCTGCTGAATCAGGAAGAGTGCCACAGAAATAAAACATGCTATTTTTTTCCCATTTTGAAGGCAGTGCACAAACTGTATCACATGTATAGAGACAGCAGACAGGAAATAAGTCAAGGCTATGATATATCAGAGGCCTTGGCAAATATTTAGCATGGAGTTATTAAAAATTAGTGTGTTCAAGTGGAATTCATTACTTTTACCTGATGGCAATTCTGTGCCAAGAGCAAACATGAGGTACCTCTTGGAGTATTAACAGTAAGTCCAAGAGCAACTCATTGGGTTGTTGGTCAGGACTTCAAACCAAAATTAGATTTTTTACAAGCCTATAAAGCTAGGATGACAGTAACAGATAAGATGGCTGCAGCTGCTCTGTTCTCAGCAGGTCTTCTCTCCCCCTGCTGGTGTGGCAGCAAACTGCAGCGTCAGTCCAACACAGCAATCTGTAGCCCCTGCAGACAGTTCTTTCAGTACAGTGCTGCTGTCAGCCCCCCAGCTGCATGGATCTGTTTTTTTGTCTCTTTAGCTTCTGAATGAAGGGGTGACATTGACGTTGGGGGAAGCTAGAGGCCTGCTCCCAAGAGTGCCATTGCAGCCCTTATAAAAGTTGAAATTGGTAAACCATGGTCCAAGCTTAGCAGTGTGTGAACACGCCCTGGGGCAGCATGACGAAGGACAGACAAGCATGGTGAAGGCTGGAGGGGTGTAGCAGAGCATGAGGAGAGCCTTGAGTAATTGGCCAGTCTCTGTGCATAGTGGAGAGGAGGCATGAGAAAAGCATGGTAAGATGTGAATTTACCATGGTGAACTTTTATATGGGTACATCCATGAAGACCATCTTTTAATGGTATTCAAACATAGTATGACTATACAGCTGTGCAGCAGGATCATTGGGCACTATTGAGCATAGTCTGCAGGCATCTTTGCCCTTTAACAGTGGTATGACCTCAGCAGACCAGAAGTCAGGTTTGTTTCTGTTACTTACCCAGTAACAACAATGCATCTTTTATCCAGTGAGAAAACTTAGCTGTAATTGTGTTTAGAATAAGAAATTTTTGTAAATTATGAGTGATTGAAGAAGCTTTGAAATGAGCGTTCCTCTAAAACCTGCAAGAGAAAGAGTTTATGGCTTAGTTTCATCCACCTGACAGGTTTGCGTTACTTAGTTTGAAAAACGACAGCGTGCAAGTTTTGATTGGCATTTGGTAGTGGATGTAAATCGCTAGGGAAGGATTCAGCACAGAAATGAGAAAAATAAGCAGGCACAGGTTCTAGGGTGAGATTGACAAATCAAATGACTTCAAAAACAAAAGCCAGCAGAAATGATGTTGTCATCTGTGAGGCAGCTCGAGGGCCTGGTCTTGCGTTCTAGAGGAGTAGTTTTACAGATGAGACGACCGATCGAAAGGTGGTCTTGACATGGATGAGGGTATTTCACCTCGGTCCATCTGCAAAATGCAAGCAGCCGCAGGCAGCGAGCGAGCAAGCGCTTGCTGACCAGGAATGTGCCCTCCTCCAGCAGGGAGCAGCAGAAGTCGATGAAGTTGATGTCAGTGTGGGAGCAGCGGACCACGCAGATTCGCCGGCACAACCTGCGCGCCAGCTGCGAGGCGCTGTACAGCGAGCTGGACCCCGAGGAGCGAGTCCGCCTGTCCTCCGTGCTGCACCTCCGGCCCGACATGAAGACCCACCTGGACCGGCCGCTTGTGGTGGAGCCGCGGGACGAGTCCCGCGACAACGCGGACGGCGCCAAGCCCGCGGATGGCACCGCGCCCCCGGACGGGCCCGGACCAGGGCCGGGGGAGGCGACAGACCGGCCGCCGGCCAGAGACGCCGGTGAGCCCGCCGCCCCCCGCAAGCACCACCGGCACCACGACAGGCCGGCCGAGGACAGGCCCGAGCCGGGCAACGAGAACGGGGACACAGGGGGCAGCAGCAATGGCAAGGAGGGCCGGCATCGCTTGCACCACAGCCGCAGCAAAGACCAGGAGGGCCGGGGCAAAGAGGGCAAGGGCGAGAGGAGCCGCAGCAGAGAGGCCGCGAAGAGGCACCATCACCAGGGCCCAGCAGAAGACGGGGGAGGAGGGGAGAAGGAGCACCGCCGGCACTGCAGCCACCGCCAGCCCAAAGAGGGCAACGGCACAGTCAACAACGGGGGCGGCCGCGGCGAGCGCCGGGGCCGGCACAGGGACGGGCCCCGCCCCGCCAACCGGGAGGGCGAGGCCGGAGCTGGGGGAGCCAAGGGGGAGAACGGGGAGCGGCTGGAGAAACGGCACAAGCACCGCAGCAAAACCCAGCCCCCCACCGAGGGGGAGGACCGCAGGGAGAATGGAGAGCGAGAGCCGGAGGGAGATGCGGCGGATAAGGAGCGCAAGAACCACTGTCCGAAGTAAGAACCCAACCCCGGTCAAAATCCCAGCCTGCCCGGAGCAATTCTGAGCAAGCACTGGAGAGCCCAGATCAGCAGTACTACAGGGAGCTCGTGGCGTCCCTCTGGGCTCGATTCTTGGTCCTGTGTCAATGTTCTTGATTTTACATCCCAGTCCCACTCCCACAAAGCAGTCTTACACTAAACAGCTCAGTGGGGACAGAGTAGGGAATACTACATAGGGGGTAAATGTTGTGATCAGCATCCCGAGAGACCTTTCGTTGTAGTTCTCGTTAACAAGTTTTTGCTCCTGTCCATCATGGGTCCTTTAGATTTTCTGTTAATGATTGCAATGTGTATATACTGTATATTCTTGATGACTTTGTATATTTATATTGTATATTCTGAGGGTTCTGTTCGCAAAGCACTGTGAGCTGCTCTAGATCTGACACACAGACAGAGTTTTGTTCTGGCTGTGTTGTGGTTGTTCTGCCTGGCGCCTCGAGGTGGGGGGTTCCGCCTGTCTCACCCTTCCGTGCCTGAGGGCTGTCGTTTTCCTCCTCGAACCCGCAGGGAGAAGCAGGCGGACGCGGGGACAAGCGCCCTGGCCACCACCCCGCAGCAGCTGGGCGGGGAGAAGCCAGAGGACTCGGACAACCAGAAGAACGTCAAGCGCACGGCCCAGACAGTCAACAACGCCAGCACCGTCGCCATCCCCTTGACTGTCACAGCCCCCCCAGGAGAGACCACCGTCATCCCCCGTCAGTGTCCCCGCCGCGTCCCAGGGCCTGGGTTGGCGCTCTGTGTAGGGCTGGACACATTACACAACATCACTCCTCATTGACTCTCATAACACTCACTATCTCGTGGTTCGGTGTCACTGAGTTTCCTCTTGATTTAAGCTCATAAGCTTCTGATGAACAATCACAACCATCGTCTCAGGGAAAAAATTACTGTCAGTGCTTACCACATAGACCGTGTGGTGAGGGCTCCCTACTGGTCCTACTAATACCTCTCCCAGTGTGTGCACACCTTCACTGACTTTGTTGATGCTGTTCAAAGAAGCAGTGTACTGTATTATGTAGTTTATTCTTCAGTGGTAAAGCTATACTTTATGTTATATGTTATAATGTTATAGCTATATGTTATAATAAGCTGTTACAGTATTTTCTGAGATGGTGTTGTGATTGTTCGTCAGAAGCTGGCTTGCTCATATAAGAGCAATTGTGGGAACTCTGATGACCACAAGATAGCGACTACTGTGAGAGTTAATGATTGTTGGTGTAACCTACTGTGTCAAGTCCTGCACAGAACAAATACAGAGGCTTTCGTTTTATTGTTACTGAGGGGTTTGTTTCAGAAGGGGAGTCTTGTTGTTCCCATGTGCTAAACCACGTCAGGTGGTCAGCGGGCTTTCACAGTGAGGTCTGCTCGTCCCCTTCAGTGAACAGCATCGACTGTGACACGCTGCCGAAGACCGAGGAGAAGAAGAGCCTGGAAGACATGACCAAGAACGGGCCGAAGCAGATCCTGCCCTACAGCTCCATGTTCGTGTTCAGCCAGACCAACCCGTGAGTGTCCCGGGGGCGTTCTCCCAGCTCCTCTGTCTTGGGTGGGAGTGCTAGAGCCGAAGTGTGGATGTTGGCAGGGAGATGAAATCGCGCCTTTTCTTTGTGCGCTTAGTTTCTCAATAACTATGCTTATTTTGAGTTACTGTGTATTGACTGTGGGACAGCAGTATCTCTCGGGACAGTTTTCCCTTGTTCATTTTTATTCTTTTTAATATAAACGGAGGAGAGGTTACGCGTGACAAGAGGCCATTTGGCCTCCCTACAGTAGCTGATTTGCAGGGAGTTAATTGATCTGAAGATCCCACCCAAGTTCTCGAGAGATGCCAGTGCCTTAGCTTCAGAGACATAACTGGGCACCTTGTTCCACACTCCCGCAACCCTTTGGGTAAAGAAGTACCTGTTTCTCCCGTGTGCCTCAGTTTATAAAAGTTCTTTCCCTCTAGTTTCCACGCGTGTCACTTCTCTCATCTTTCTACTGTTGATCCTCAAGAGGCCCATTGGCTTGATGTTGTGGATGTGCTCTAAAAGAGGGCTTTAAGACAGACCCTTGTGTCTCACTTTAAACTTACAGATGTGGGCTTATAAAGTCAGGATATGTCCTTGATCAGAATTCACAATATAAAGATTGATTTCAGTAGTCTGAGAATTTGTGAGGTCCTTCATATAAGAATAAGGATAACAGCTGAGAAGTGAGATTTTTCAGTTCTGTTTTCAGTTTTTACAAAAATGGTCCGACATTTATTTCATTTCCGCCGACATTCATCAGTACCTATGGATGGTGTAAGACTTACAGACTAAATTTAGAGCACGAGCTGATGAAGGGCTCATGCCCTCCTGTCGGGGGCCGAGTGAGAATCTGCTCTGAGGCTGTGCTGTGCTGTGTGCAGGGTGCGGAGGCTATGCCACTACATTGTCAACCTGCGCTACTTCGAAATGTGCATCCTGGTGGTGATCGCCATGAGCAGCATCGCCCTGGCCGCCGAGGACCCTGTGCAAGCCGACGCCCCCAGGAACAACGTGAGTCCTGTACAGCGTCCACTCGCGGCCCATCCCAGGACCCCTGCTCCCATTCTCCCGGCCCCAGGACCCCTTCTCCCATTCTCCCGGCCCCAGGACCCCTGCTCCCATTCTCCCGGCCCCAGGACCCCCGCTCCCATTCTCCAGGCCCCAGGACCCCCGCTCCCATCCCAGCCCTTGGACAATGATGTGCCTCAGTACGGCTCTCAATTCAGCATGTTCCTGTTTAACAAGAAAGGTGTGGATTTTTGTCCACAGTGATGCCAGTGTCTGTTGACTCATATGCAGTCTTTTGCATTGTGTGTGGCCAGACCTAAACACCCATACTGAGAGGAGGTTTCCCATCCTAGTCCTGGGGTTTTCTGGTTTTCATTTCAGCAGTGCCCTGTATCCCTTGATTGAACCATTGAATTAATTTGTTGAGGTCACGTAACCTATAATCTTACAGCTCTCCAGGTTAGATGTACAGAACAGTTCCATTCTGAAAATGCCTCTTTCAAAAAAAGGCAATTTAACATTTAACATATTTAATATATTTTAAATTTTTCTATGCAGCTTTTTGATTAATTCACATTGTTTAAACAGCTCATATTGGTATATTGGCATGCAGATATGATTTTTCCCTTCGAGTTGTATCATATTTACCTTTTTCATCCAGGTGCTCAAATATTTGGATTACGTCTTTACGGGAGTGTTCACATTTGAGATGGTGATTAAGGTGAGTAGTGTGTGGTGTGTGATTATTACTGATTTTAATTATTGTAAGTATTACCTTGGCTCACCTTTCACCTTCCACTGTGTCCTGCCCCTCTGCTTTTTACTGCGGCGTTAGTACAGTATCATGCCGTGTGTTGAACACTTCTCCCAGAAAATCTTAGAGTGTTTTCAGCCTTGCAGCCTGAGAGAAACTGGCATGATTGCCAGTAAGATGTAGAGCTGCACAGTTTCCCACTTTAGCCTCACATTCTGACAAAAAGTCTTTCATGAAGTCGGCCTCAGGAAGGTTTCTGGGCACGTTTTTAATTTGGTTTAGCGGAATAGAAGCTGTCTGTCTCAGATATTTTTCAGGAGATGTGTTTTCTGATGGCTTGATTTTTATAACATATACAGTAACATTAACAAGAAATAAATCTTTTAATCAGTTTTTAACGTAGTGATTTGGAACTCCTCAGTGTCTGAAAAGATGGGAACACAGACAGGATTCCTACCCAGAAGAACTGCCTGCCTGTTGTAATTAAAGCTTGCCCTGTTGTCGTTTTTGAAGATGATCGATCTGGGTTTGCTCCTCCACCCTGGATCGTACTTCAGGGACCTTTGGAACATCCTGGACTTCATAGTTGTCAGTGGTGCTTTGGTGGCCTTTGCTTTTTCGTAAGTAAAATCTTCTCTCTCTATATATTTATGCCTGGAGGTTGCAGGCGTTTGCCCTGATGTGAGTTCTGGGAGACCGGAGTGGCTCAGGCTGACACACTAATAACAACAAAAAAATCGATTGGGGGTGGATGAAGATATCGGTAAAATGGGTTTTACCTTAAAGATGAAATGTCCACTTGTATTCTGTTGCAAACAACCACTTAGTAGGACCTTGTCAAGAACATATCTGCACTTCACTTTAAGTGTGCAGTTACTTGGTACCTACATTTTTACTTACACACAATTACATTGTGTGTGTGTAAATAAATGAATAATTTCTTTTTTATGCAAATTAATATATAATTGTATGAATATGTAATCATTGTCCTTTAGAGGGGTGGCGCTGTGGCCTCGCAGCTCTGGGGCCCTGGGTTCACTTCTGGACCTGGGGTGCTTTCTGTGTGGAGTTGGTATTTCACCCTTTTCGTCAGGTGCTCCGGCTTTCCCGCGGCCCTGAACTGGATATAGTGGCTAGAAAATGGGTGGATATTCTGTAGAGACAAGATATTAAAAAATATGATCCCACTTGCCGATGGTTGTGAAGTTCTGCCATCTTACAGTAACTCCGCTTCTCGTCAGAGATGGGAGTCTGTACCCTTTGTTGAAATGAATAATGAATTGCTTTTCAGTGTCACCTGTATTTCTCCTCCTCTCTGTTCTTTTAATGGCACATGTGAGATGGTCTGCTGGCCATGCTGCTTGGCTCAGAACATCCTCCAGAAGCTTTTCATGTTCAGCTGCAGCGGTTGATGAAACCCCCGGCGCCCCAGGTTCCAAGAAAAGAGACTAACAGATTCTCTATAGAAGGAACAACTTCCGTTCATGTCAGGCACACAGTTTCACACTACATGCAAAACATCCATCTGTTCTATTGACTTCAGAGCAATCTGTCTGCAGCCTCACCGCTGGTGAAAATATCAGATGATAACTTCAGAGATACAGATTTCATGGGATTGATTATATCAAAATGTCCTGCCCAGTACCACACTGCCACCTATTGACCAGCCCAATTGTTGCCTCTTGCCTGTGTGCTATTAACTTCTGTATATTAACCTTCTCTGTTTTTGCTACCCTGCTCTTACTTTTTACCAGGTTCTGACAAATGGAAAAAGGGTTTAGGAGAAGGGAAAGATCTGAGCACACATTTTGGTCTTCTCCGATGATCTGTTTTGATCGGGCCTGGAATATTAAGCCTCATGTTCGGGAGGCATTTGATAATAAAAAGTTCTTCGGCAGTAGACTTCATGAGTGCATATAGGCTACCACACATCCTCTCACGAAGGCACACCCGATGTGCCTGAGCTCGCCTCCGGCTGCTCAAGTTTGACTTGAATGAGCCTTCTGCTAACTAATGTGCGTATCATTTCAGTAACAACCAGTAAGGCAATAGACTGAAGGCCAGCTGCCTGTGGATATTTGCAGCACTTCAGTTCTGTAATTGGGAAGGTATAAATGACAGACGTTATCTTGTATTTGCGAGAAGACTGTGCAGAGTGTTCGCATACGAATGGCTCAGACAGTGCAAGAGGCTGGGCTGTGCTTGTGTGCTTCTCTCTTCTCTCCTTCTCTCTCACTGTCCTGTGATGGTAAGTGTGAGTTTGTTACCTGGTGCTGTGGAGTTTTGTACATAACGAATTCTGACTCTTCCTCTGCTTCCTTGTTGCTGGACCTTGTGCAGGAGCTTCATGGGGTAATGCACTCATACTCTTCTGCCTGTCACTGTCTGGGCACACCACTAGGGGGAGTATGCTCACCCTCCTCCAGTCGCTGACCACAGCATGCGGTCTCTCGTGCAGCCCCATGGTCACCTGTCCATCTGGCTTCACCTCATTCATTCGCCTGTGTGTCCTGCCCCTTCGCCTTTCACAGGGGCGTTAGCGCTAACAGGAGAGATGCAATTGCAAAGTGTTTTTGAGGATGTAAAACATTTTTTCTCTAGTGTGTTTATTTTCTGAGGTACAAACTGAAGCCACTCATTTTTGCATGTTTAGCAAAGTAGTAGTTGCTTTGTTAATAAGCACTCATTTACCACAATGCTTGGAATCTCAATTAAATACTACAGCTGTAGTAATGTGATTACAGAAAAACCTAACAGACTGTGGGACTTTTAACTCTGTAAGCTCAGCCCGATGTATTTAGGGGCACTGGCACCCTAACTTTTAAATGTGTATTAGACAGTTATGTGGTACAGCGTTGGTTGGAAAAAAACAAACCTGATGCCTTCCAGTGACATCTTTGTTCAAATGCAAAATGTCTAAGCCTTTGGATGATGTAAATGAGGCAAGACCCCCGTCACATGACAGGGGTCGTAAGCCTTGAGCTTGGCACAGGTGAGATACTTCACAGCTCAGAGAAAAAAATTACGTATCCAGTTCAGAGCAATAGGCCATTGCTGTAACTCAAGGGGGTTCTCTGACCATGATGAAAGCCAGGTTACATCTACCTGTAGCACAAACTGTCAAGAGATTAAACTGACATAAATGAGAACAGTGAAATGTGGAAACCAAGTCTGCATGTGAAGAGTTAATGTCGGGTTTCTCTACCTCAGAACAGGAATAGTAACCAACTAAATGTTCAAGAACCTAAGTCCCACGTGTCTCAGTGTGAATCAGCGGCCATAAGAAGCATCGCACTCAACATACACTTTCCAGGCTTAGTCTAAACCTGACAGTTACAGTATGTCTCAGGATGCATGTGAAGATGTGCTTTCATGCTGCAGAAGCATATTGTTAAGAACTGATCGATGCCTGTTATAAGCTGTAGATCAGTGCCAACGACACCAAGAATAAAAATAATTCATACCTTATTAATAATTCAGTAATTCAAAGCATAAAGCAAGGAATCAGCATTTCTGAAGGGCAGCCTCTCCGTTGACAGAGTTCTGGTGCACCGCTGTTGGACTTGTTGGGAGCGTCTGGTCTGTGGTTGGCTGATGGCTTGACTTCTGTGGCAGTCGCACCCTGTGCAGTTCACACCACAATCGCCACCTCTGCACAGAACGTCGCCGCGTTCCTTCATGTCTTCATGGAATTCGTCCGTCTTTCCGCTGTTTCCCGGGGAACAGCACGGGCCCCAACAGTCACACCATTCCATAAATCCCCAGTCAGGTCCTGAATCAGACATTGTCTGCCGCAGTAGCTGACTCACAGGGCTCTGCGAGAGCTCTAGTGGAGATCGGTGTGAGGGAGGTGCACGAAGCCACTTCCTGCACAATTCAGTGACCTCTGTACTGTACGTCTGCGGGCTCATTCTGTCCATTTTCAGTCGATGTCTTTTTACATGAACAGGGACGTGTTCTTTTTTATGATCCATCTTCCATTTGTAGTCAAACGTATACCATTTATAATATCCAGTGTACTGCATGTAACCTCACGTGTCATTGTTACGTTTTCATTTTCCGTGATTCGTTTTTTTCAGCTCTTTAATCTTGTGTAGTTCTGAAGTCTTTCGGAGTGTGTGATAAATCTGTTGTGTAAGACTCCAGAATCCTCCTCGGTCGGCTGTCTTTGGTTTTACGCTGTCGCAGAGAGAACTGGCTGTCAGAAGAGATCATATTAGACTCTTGATTTCTGTGTCAGCTCACAGCGTAAACTGTAGTTTAACAGAGTGAGCACAAGACTGTCAGAATCTAAAGGGATTTTTCCTCAGTGGACAGAACGGTATTTTTTAAAAATTTGTTTTCTGTATAGCTTCCATAGAACTCACAGCCTGTAATGCAAATTAATAGCAAATAATAATAATTATTATTATAATTATTTAAGTGACACTAGTTCAGAAATCACTAAAGTCTTCCTTTAAAAAGTTGTCTCCCTATTATTTGAATTTATTTGTGTCTTATAACTAGGACAGCTTCTTCACCCATATCTTATTCCTTATATAATTCCTTACGTGTCTTACAATGTTTTCTGAATGTCTTACATTACAGCGTTTAACTGTGAATCTTCACTCTAGGGGCAGTCATTTTCCAATATCATTACAATTAATCTGGTTTAATTTCAGTCTGTTTATTTCTGCCTATGTAGCTATTTGTATGTTGATGTCTGTGCAGCGGTTTGTAATTTCTTCCTGTACTTTTCTTTGTTTGTTCTTTGTTGACGCTCCCCTGCTTTTAGATCGCACCAAACCGTCACCAGGTGGGGCCCTCCCAGAACCCCCCCTCGTCCTCACTAGCCAGGACCGCGCCCCCTCTCCTTTCTGTGTTGCCCCTCTCCTCTACACAGCAGGAGGTGCAGCCAGGCACTCTGAGAGCTTTCCATTGACACCCCAGTGTGTCACTCTCTTTCTAGAAGCTGTGTAGCCTTGACAGATTTTGAGAAAAAGGAGCACAAATTCAAAATGGGGCGGCCAGGAGCCCGCTTGAGGGGAGCCCTGGATGGATCTGCAGGTGGATCTGCTGTTTGTGCAGTGGGAGCCACTCGCCTCCCTCCCTCCCTCCCTTGTGGACAGCTGCTGCTCCACTGTGTGGGCGCTGCCTCCCTCTTCCCTTAAGGGAGAAGAGACATATTGTCGTGGAAAAAGACACTTCTCGGTACTTTCAGAGACACTTTCTGACAACTCGCTGTACGAGAAAGGAGAGGAGTTCTCTGCTTGGACCAAGATCCCCCGGCAGAGGCTCACAGCTGGCCCCCTGCCTCCGGAGTCGGGCCGGGCTTCAGCCGGCTGGGGTTCGGATCCTCAGTGAATCCCGGGACTCGCCTGCTGCCTGCGGGCCTGGCTTTGGAGGGCCGTCACTCAGGATGTCTCCTGGAGCCGAGGCAGGCTCTGCTGTGGGCGAGAGGAAGAGAAGGTCCTGCTTTGTGTTGTGGCGGAGGACATCTGCTCCTCCCCCTCCTTCCCGGCGAAGTGGTACGAGGATCTTGGCAGCAAAGGCAAACTGGCGCTGTTGGTGATCCAGAAACTGGGGGGGCGTAGAAAGTACAGCATAACAATGGGTGATTCCAGAGTTTAAAAAAAAAACTTTAATGTGCAATATGCTCCAAGGGGGGTCTTGTAGCTCCTCTTCACTCTTTTGCAGTAGGTCTTCAAGGGGTAGAGAGTCCCCCAAAGCAGGCCCTCCGTGTTGAGTCCTGAGTGAAAAGGGTGTTCTTTCCTGGGTGATTTTTTTCCCCCCATTCCTCGCTTTCCATGTGCTTCATTTCCCCAAGACGAAGACTGACACCCCCCCTCTTTTCAAGCCTCCTTCTCCTCCTCCTCTTCTGACTGAGTGAGGCTGACTTGCCGCTGGGGATGTAGGAGGTGTGAGACCAGACAGGCCCTGGACAGAGAAGAGCAACAGGCAAGGAGAGCCTGGGGAAGGAGGACCCGCTGGGAACCTCTGGTACTCTTCGTCCTGCCAGATGAGATTCCAGACCCAGGACCCAGGGCATTGAAGCCGTCCCTGAAGATGGAAGAGGTTTCAGAAATGAATTGTCTCTTTAACTGGTGTCCCCTTGTCTGGATCAATCACAGCAGAAAACTTTAGTGTGAAGAGTGCTTGAATGTGGAATTCACAAATTCAGATGGTCACTGTTATCTGCGTAATTAAGAGAAGGACAGCAGTAAGCAGCAAAAGACCACTCAAACTCCTGTGGGGACCACGTCCTGAGATGTCTTCAAGGGGCTCCTCTCTCCTCCATCTGATTAACTGCCCCTGTGTGACACAAGGCGGACAGTTTCCTGTCCTGCTGCAGAGATGGACTGAGAACAGGTGTCCTCGGGTGGGAGTTGGCTGGAGTTTGCTGTCAATGCTAAAAGCCTCTCTTTTCCTCTTCACGGGGCTTCTTTGGAAAGCTATCAGAGTGCCATTGCTGTGTGTTGTCTGATTTCTAACCACTGGCCCTACTCACTGTGCGAGCATGCTAGACTAATGTGCATCAGAGCATGGTGATTTTGCATGCTGGTGTAGTAGACCTAGAAAACCAAGTGAAATGACCACACCATGATGTATGTGGCCATAATGCCGTGTCTGGGCAGCCCACTCTGGATCTGTAGAAGAAGGCTCCTGCCCTGAAACATAAGCCTTTCATGTAGTATTTATGTTATATAAGTCAAAACAACAAGAGGATGAATTTCGGTAAGTTGCGAGTCCCTTGCATCATACAGAGCAGAGTCTTGTTGAGCCCAGTGCGCTCAGGACTTGATCACAAACAGTCAGCGTGGAAAAAGCACTATTCTGCAAAAATTGATGTCTTTAGGCGAAGGCTGACCTTTTCAGAACAGTCTGTTGTAGTTGGCGTTTTAAATTTGTATTCTTTTTGCCGCAGAAAAAAAAGGTTCTGTTTTTTGGAGATTTGCTCATCCGGTGTTTGGAAGCTCACACTTCTGGTGACAGCCCGAACCAGTAGCTCTTCTGGGTGCAGGAGGGGGTTGCTTGTGTGCTACTCTTATCCTATGTGTGCTGACAGGATTCTGCCTTTTTCTGAAGAAACAGTTACGATCGGCCGAATACTGTGTCTGTGCAAGAGCCACCTGAGGCAGGGCCGTCTGCCTACTGGAGCACAGCTTTGTGCCCAATCTGGCCCCTGTAGTTCCACTGCCCCCAGACCACAGCTCTCAGAGAATAATCCCTCTGGGGTCTGCGTGCCAGCTTCTCTCTGTTCAGCTCAACAAGTTTGAAGAGGCCTGGAGCAGAGCAGTGGACCGTAAGAGCTAGCCAGGTTGGCCCAGGACCCTGAGACCTAACATCAGGCATGCAAAGGGCGATGTCCCACAGCCACTGAGCCCCTGGGGCTTCAGCCACATTTCTCTAGAGGGATGATTGGATCAGAAGCTGTACTGATCCTCATGTCTCGATATATTCAGTGTAAAACATCAGGGAGAAACTCTAAGGTTTCTAAAGCGAGATCCAGCAGCGCACACTGTAGAAAATAAGGAAAACTCTGTCCATTGCTTAGATCTTTATGAAAGTGGTTGAAATCGTCAGTGTTGGCGTGTTGTAGTCAGTAGGTTGTTAACAGCCGCATGCTCCATGCGGTTCCCAGGGTTAATGACTACCATTAACATGAAACATCACAAACAGTGCCGTCGTCCTTCTTAATTGACATCGTCGTTAGATTCAAATTAAGGCACCGCGGTTTCTCAGAGACTAGCTTTATCATGATGGCATGTTGACAAGGGCAGACTAGATCCTGCACCGCGCAGAAGGCTGAGTTTGTTTGTTGTTCAGTTCAGTTTAATTTGTTCACTTGGAGCGATCCAGACTTGTTCACTCGTATACAGTATGAACCCCAGAGAGCGAGTGAGACTCGACAGTGTTGTGGGTTTTGCTTGTCCACAAGCATCACAGGAGCCTCGTAGGTGATAATCTGGAGGTTGTTGTCCCTGTCCAGCCCGTGTGCAGTCGAATGAAGATGCGAAGGTGTTCTGCCTGAGAGTCTGTAAGGTTGGACTGAACAGCAGTGGAATGCAAAACATTTGTGCTTCTCTTACACATTCGGAAAGCGTTATCGCCATGGAAAATTCATGGTTAAAATGATGTAGTAAATATTTTATCAAACACTTGTGATGAGGATAATCCTGGGTTTTCTAGATTTTTTTTAAAGTATTTTTGTGTAAACTTCTATCATCTTGATTTTCCTCACAGTATACCCTTTTTAATTCTAAGTCTAAATAACCATTTGTTTTACTTTGAAATTGTACCTTTGCAGGTATTTTTGTGTTGCTTGTGTCTTCACCCTCTCAGCTTTGTAGCTTATTGTCAGAGGTGTTATGATTATCAGATACAAAAAACAGAGAAAAACCAGGGTCCCTTGGAAGAAACTCACCTCCCGCTGTTGGGTGTTTCTTTTTATCTGATGTTCACTTGCCTGTTATTCTACAGAAACTCAAAACCACTGTCCTTTGTATATGAATCGCGTTTTGTTGTGTAGATGAATAGTGTATAGTGTTTAATCATGACATAGATATAGTCCAATTCCAATAGTATTCCAGACTTACAGATAGTCGGTTTCTGTAGAATAATGTTTACTACCATGCATGCATTAACTGCAGAATATGTCACGTTAACCCATGTAATCAATCCAGAATTACATGACTGTACAAAGGAGCATGGTCTGGATAGTCATGTGACTAGTCAGTGGAGGGTCTGAGAGCATTAGCAGGGTTAAGCTCTAGGATGCACAGGTGTGATCAGTCCTTCATCACAAAGGTAATATATATAATAAAGCCATGTAAAGGATGTTTTTTATTGTAATTGTTTTAGAAATCGAGCATCACATACATGTAGAATGTATGTAAATCTTAAGCATAGAATGTTACATTGTGCTGAAATCTCTAATGCAATCAGATACTTTTCTGTGTATTTGAGATGTAGTCTTAACATGGCAAGGCCATGCTCTCGCAGGCTGACATTGGAACACTTTACAATGCCGACATATTGTTGCAGTAGAGCAGGTAAAGAATCCTTTAGATGAGAGTTCTTTACAGTGTTGCTCCTGTTGTTTCCCTCCTAGAATCTGATACTGTATAACTTTAAAACAGAGGTACATGTTCAGTGTGACGAGATTCGCCTTCACCTTCAATGCATGCATTGTGCCCAAAATAATTTTATAACTTTAATGTAAATGTTTTGAAATGATACAACAATTTGCACCTGCTTTTCTAATCCGCGATTAGCTGCTTTTAGCAGTCGCTAGCCGTTGCCACACCCTGCAGGTTTTTAAAATTCACTACAGCCGAGTGTGTTTACTGCAGTTACCATTCACAGTAAAGTTTGCCATTGCTGTCACACTGAGCGGTACAGCTCTCCTGCACCGTGCTCCTTCTGCGCAAAGACTAAGATCCCTGTGTGCTTGTTCTGTATAGAGGGACCAAAGGGAAGGATATCAACACCATTAAGTCCCTGCGTGTGCTCAGAGTGCTGCGTCCCCTGAAGACCATCAAGAGGCTGCCTAAACTGAAGGTACCGTCAGGACACATGGAGCACCAGCGACTGGAGACTGATTGTTAAAATATTTATCCCAGAAACCCGCTTCTCAGACACCTGGGTGGGGGTGGAAAAGGTTTAGAAAAGGTGCCTTTATCTTTCCCGTCCAACATGTCTCGCTCCCTCCAGGCTGTGTTCGACTGCGTGGTGAACTCCCTGAAGAACGTTCTGAACATCCTCATCGTCTACATGCTCTTCATGTTCATCTTTGCTGTCATCGCGGTGCAGCTCTTCAAGGGCAAGTTCTTCTACTGCACCGACGAGTCCAAGGAGCTGAAGAAGGACTGCAGGTAACGGCCTGGACCTCTGCTCTGGCTCTGGCGTGCTCCTCTCTTCTGCTTTCGCCGTTCGCTCTTCTCCTGCTTGATCTTCTCCAAAGCTGCCCGTTCGCACAGCGCTGTCGATGGTGCTATGTTCCCAGCATGCCTCGGCAGTCCTGCCCGTCATCTGACGGGCAGACGGGCGAACGGGCCGGACAGGGGCGACCCGGAGCGCTGCCACGGTTCCACTGAGCCTCCAGAAGAAGGGGGTGTTGAAAATGATCTCGGCAACAGCCTTGTGAAGGCACTGATGGCGATGGGGAAAAAGAAAACGATGGCATAATGGCTTCATAATGCCTGCGTAGCTGCTGCACAAGATGTTATAATCACAGATGACATAAACTCTGCGTAAGAGGTCATGACATTTGATTTAGCACCGTTTATAGCGCCTGGTACAATGCTAAAATAAATGTCATGACCTCTTGCGCACGTTATGCCATTTGCACATGTCCCAAGCATTATGTGTGATGATAATGTCTCATGTCGCAGTCACGAAGGGATTATGAAGCCACTGTTCAGCGATGTTAAAATGATGCTCTACCATAATAATGGTGCTAGTTGTCTTTATGAAAGCTTTTGCATGCAGATGTACAAACACACATTTTGGACCTGCAGAACAGGTCCCCTGATGTTCACGGTCGCCGGCGGGTCACTCTTCTCGAAACGCCCGCTTGCAGTCGCTCGTTCTGTTCCGGGGCCCCTGCTCCGGCGTTCTTTGGCCCCCCCCCGCCCCTGCAGCTCGGCGGAGGAGGGGGCCGGGGGCCGGGTGTCCCTCTCACGGCTTCTCTCCCGCGGCCGCAGGGGTCAGTTCCTGGACTACGACAAGGACGGCGTGGCGGCGCAGCCCCGGGAGTGGAAGAAGTACGAGTTCCACTACGACAACGTGCTGTGGGCGTTCCTCACGCTCTTCACCGTGTCCACGGGCGAGGGCTGGCCCACGTGAGTGACCGGGGGACCGCGCGCCCTTCTGGCCGCAGGCTGCTCGCGGGGGCCCGGCTGCGTCCCAGAAATCAGGATTTTCATAATACCATCAGAACAGTTCATTCTCAATGATTTTTTCTAGTGCGTGAAATCAGACGAGTTCAATCAGGTACGAGTGTGAAGTGGCACAGAAATAGGTTGTGTGAACCTCGTTTATTGTGTCAGACGTGCTAGTGGTCTCTCTTGGGTCAGTGTCGCGCTGTAGTGCTGAAGTCACCTGTTCAGCGTGCTGGCCGCGCCGAGCCAGGATCGCTGTACTGCAAGGTGAGGGGGCTGAGCTCAGCCAGGTGAATAGGTTTACTTTCTATGGCGGAAGCCCTAAAGCAGTGCCGGCTTTCCCTCAGCAACAGGACCGGGGCTTCTGCCTGCCCTCACTTTAGTCTTTGTTGTCGAGATCAAAGGCTGCAGCTGACAAGGTTGTTTGAAGTGATATCCTGCTCGTTTCTGGAGCGAACGTCCTCGATACAGAAGCACATTAAGAGCTCTTGCCCAGATTCACTCACTAGTATGAATTTCTTATGAGATAAATGGCCTGGGAAAATGTCTTGTAAAAAGCGCTGTGCAAGTCACCGTAATTAACACTGAATGTTCCAGGGAAAGGCAAAGGAGGTTTCTACTTTACATTTTCCCCGAAAGAAGGAATTTTTCAAAAGTACATTCTAGCCTCAAGATGAAAATAGCATTTTAGATTCAGAACATGATTAGATAACTGAATTACATGTCACATTGCCTTACAACAGGGCCAGTAACGGAGTTCTGAACAGATCAGAAAGCACATTGCTACAGTTTATAAAAGGGGGTGTTTGAAAAGGAGGCTTCCTGTGTGTAACTGGCTGCAGTCCTACGGGTCCTACTGAATTTGCAGGAGTTTAGGGACAGAGTAGTGCTTTGTGCGTCCGAATGGATATGCAGAGGAGCCTTCCTGCCTGGCTGAGGGGTGGTGGTCTTGCTGTAAGCCTCGATCAGCCCGAGCCCCTGCAAGGGCAGGAGTGCAAAATGACTAAGGGGAAATGGGTTTAATTGACCCCTACTTGTTGGGAGGAAGAGTGTTATGAAAACCTCATGAGTCTTCTCTTTTGATCTTTGGTTTCTAAGACAGACTCCTCCTATGTCTCCTGATCTCTCCCATTACCCCCCACTCTGCCCAGTGTCCTAAAGCACTCTGTGGACGCCACCTACGAGGATCAGGGTCCCAGCCCGGGCTTCAGAATGGAGATGTCCATCTTCTACGTGGTCTACTTCGTGGTGTTCCCCTTCTTCTTCGTCAACATCTTCGTGGCCCTCATCATCATCACCTTCCAGGAGCAAGGGGACAAGGTCATGTCTGAGTGCAGCCTGGAGAAGAACGAGGTAGGTTATTGTAGCCCGTCTGCAGAAGGGGCTCACAAGCCACACTCCTTTTGCAAACTCCAGTCAGCAGCTGAGCTCTTCCATGGCTAGGCGCTCTTGGGATTGGAAATGTTTGGCTCATTCCAGGGCACTATCCGCGGAAGGGTTTTTGTTTTTCAGGCTTTCATTAGTCTTCAGTTTCCTTTTGATGTGTCCTGCAGAGCACATTGCACTGCTCAGGGTACTTCTGTACTTACATCTGTGTGCTGTCCAAAAGCCTGCAAGCAGAGTTGAAAAAATTGTACCAAGGTGTCCTCCAAAACATGATCTGGCCACTCCCTGTCTGCCTGTCGATCTCCTGCAAGACAGACTTGATAGATGATGCCAAAAATTGATGAAAGCCAGCTGTTTCTGAGCTGGTACCTCACCTTCAGGAACTCCTGAAGTTCACGGTAGCTTGAAAACCTTCTGCCTGAATGCCTAGAAGATGCAGGCGGATTTTCGTTCAATATTTAAGTAATTCAATACTAAATAAATGTAGTTAAAATGATCTGAAATTGCAGTTTATACCCCTGACCTTTGCCAAGTAATTACTGTGATTGCTAGTAGGGTTTCCTGCTACTGTATATTGTTTTACAAGAACATCTTTTGTATATTCTGAGTGAACGAAGGTGTGATTGTGAGAACTGAATTGTCAGATTGTTAAAATTCAGGTTGCTGACTCTTCAAAAACCTATCACAAGCCCACATGTCCCGACCATAGGGTATTTATGGTCCATAGCGCAGCATGTCGTACCCATACATAGATAATTTATGCATGGCATACCGAAAATAAATAAAATACAGTGTAGTGTTGTATCGTATAGATAACTTCTGATCTAAGCTTTTCCATCAATGTTCACACTCTCCTGTCTCCCGGTGGATAATTTATAATTTAATTTCCCAGAGGCATGCTTTATTAATTAATGAAGTCTGTTATGTTTAAGATTTCATCCTATGAGTAACGTGTATGACTCAGAATGCTCAGACAGCCTTCTGAATAATGGTCACAGTTATAGCTGTACAGGCATATACAGTAGGTTTAAATATGTTTTGCAATCATTTGATTAGCGGCTTGGATTGAGGGTGAGAAGCTGGTTCTGCATCATACATCAGCGCCAGCACCATATCGCCATGACAGCTCATACCCCAGCCCCAGATGCTCATTGTCTTTCTCTGGGACAAACCTGGTGAGGCAGCTGTGACACAAATCCGTCAGGCTCCTGTCAGGCGGACAGAGCCAGCCTGTGCACCAGCAGTGTGAAATAACATCTGCCTGCATGGAAACCCAGGAAAAACTCATCTGTGCCACAAAAGATAAAAGAACATCAGCTGAGGTTCACACATCTGTTAATTTGATAAACACAGGGGATTTGCATGTATATTCAAACTCTTCTGTCCCCTCCTGTCCTCCCCTGGATATTTAGATTTGATACAGTTCTAGCCTGGGACAGGGGATACAGAAAGTCAGACAGTGGGGCCTGAGTCATAATGTCTTCACTCTGCAGCAGTGCTGTGTGCTGAGATTCAGGTCTGGATATTCTGTGCATTCATAATTTTTATTTGGCCGTGAGGCTAGCAAGATGCAAGCACACTGAACAGTGTGATTAACGTGGCTGAGGTGTCTCTTCAGTGAATCAATCAGGCTGGAAAGAGGCACTGATCTGCTCGGTGTCAACCACTTACTGATTTTATTGATTATTTCTGTTGAAACCATTGTTTTCAAGCGCATGGAGTCCTGTGTACTGCAGAGTCTGCAAGACATTGTTTGCCAGGAGCATCTGAGTTCTGGAAACCGCTTCACAGCTAAGGGTTGTGACACAACCCACAACAGGTTTCTTAAAAGCACGTTCTCTGTGTTAAATCGGCATTTTCTTATTTTATTGGCTCTCTCCATAAGAAAGCTTTAAAGGTCCAGCAGTACATCCCTCAGTTTTTAACTTTAATCATTCTGCATGTGAGATCTCATAGGCTTATATCTGCAAAAACAGTTTACTGTCCCTCATTATCAAGTGCACACTGTTGTAGCCAGCAGGACTGTGCTCTTACCCTTGAACAGGGTATCCACACACAAACGAACACCCACGTGGATCCCGCCCTAAATACCCGGCTGTTTAATATTTTGTGACACTGTAAGTTCCTTTGGATAAAGGCATCAGACGAAATTAATTTGAATAAGCTTTCGGCCCGGCGTGATGGACAGTTCAGAGTGGCGTTGGAGTTCAGTGTCCAGCTCTCGCTCTTAGTGACTTTACTAAGTGAGCTGTGGATTTAGTACAGCTTCCAGGTTTTATCCATTGAGTGAGTGAGGAGGGCTGGCTGCACTTGGCTAAATGGGGGGGAAAAAAGGGAATTTTCACACCTGAGGGGCTTTAGTTTTTAGGGTAACCGGAGAGAGATGGTGAGATGGGTCCTGGAGATGTCTACCTCCTGGATGGGAGCAGTGAGAATGAGAGCCTGGAAATGTGGGAGGGCCAGCAGACAGCAGATTCCAGACCCCTACTGGGTTGAGCTATATGGAGGGATAGACGCTGCTGAGGGATAGGAATATAAGGAAAATGGACAGACCCCAGGACTCCCCGTCTCGTGGGGTCTTAAAGGTGCTATCCAGAAAGCCACTGAAGAGCAAAAGACAGGGCCCCGAACGAGAGAACGAGAGAAGCTGTTCTGCCCGTTTGGCCCGTTCGGTAGTTATGAGTGGACCAATCCCAGGGTCTCATCCAGCCATTTCTTGAAAGAAGTAAAAGTACCGGCTCCAGCAAAGTGGCGGGGGAGCTTGCTCCACGCTCCTGCAGCCCTTTGTGTAACCTCCCTTCCTCCCTTCACTCGTGACAGAGGGCCTGCATCGACTTTGCCATCAGCGCCAAGCCCCTCACACGCTACATGCCCCAGAACAAGCAGTCCTTCCAGTACAAGATGTGGAAGTTCGTGGTGTCGCCGCCCTTCGAGTATTTCATCATGGCCATGATCGCGCTCAACACTGTGGTGCTCATGATGAAGGTCAGTACCCTGGGGGTGGGCAAAAACCCCCAAAACGGCTTTTTTAAATCATATCTCAAGAAGAATGAAAAGAACCCTTCGATAGAATTGCCGGTAACGCATCAATGTGCTCCGTTCGTGCTAGAGAGACCCGGACAGTTTTTATTCTGGAAACGTACAGTAACAAATACTTCAATAAAGAACTATTCACCCACTAACTTATCAGCTTGAAAGCAGATTTCGAAGATGATTTTGATGTGGGATTTCCTTTTATGTGTTGTCTCGTTGGTAGTTATTAATTGATAGTAATTGGTAGTTACTCATGGATCCCAGGATCTCATCCAGACGTGTCATGAAAGAAGCTAGGATTCAGGCTTCAGCAGCATAGCTGCATAGCACACCCTTGTGTAAAGACATGCCTTGTGCTTCTCTCTTGTTTGGCCTGTCTCTGCCCTCTGTGAACACTGGGCTGAGACGTGGTCGTGTTAACTTTAGAGCTCAGATTCCTAACTCCTGATTGTTTTCTCCATCAGTTCTATGGGGCTCCAGTGGTGTACGAGGCAATGCTGAAGTACTTGAACGTTGTGTTTACAGCGCTGTTTTCCTTGGAGTGCATCCTGAAGATTATTGCATTTGGTGCCCTGGTAAATATGCTCATTGCTGCAGTTCACCTCTTTACTTGTGTTTTTTACTGTGTGTCTGCCTATAGAATCTGTGGCAACAACGGTCTGCTTGCTGTCTTAGAAAGCTTAGCTCCAGTGTTAAAATCTAGAAGCCAAACTGCTATGAAAGAGCATGACTTTAAAGAGGTTTAATCACTGCTATAAGGTAACCAACAAATCCACTAAACTCTGCATTTCAGCTCACTGTGGGGATTTGAAAATGTGGTTTATACATTTTATGGGTCTCTATGACAGGCCATATAACATTGACTGGGATTACATGAAATTTAAGATCTTGCCTGCCTTCTTGATACGGTGAAAAGCCTTGTGTTGGCACCTGCATTGATCACCTTAATACAAAGCCGACAAAGAACAGTGAATAAAGCAAAAGTATTTTCGGGAAAAGTAGAATATTCATCCGCAAATCTGACACCTGTCTCTCAGGTCTCGGTTCTTGTTCTGGGAAGCGAGGCCAACTGGACAGGCCACTTCGGCAGAGCTGGAGTGTAGCTGCCTCTCTGCTCCAAGTGAGGTGACGCACAGGGCAGGACACGGGAGAAATCTGAGCAAAGACAGCAGTGCATTTAATTACTTGCTGCCTTTATTCCTGCAGCACTTTTTGAAGCCATTCAGTTAATCCTTCAAGCACTTTGACAGTGATATTTGTGACAGGTCCTGTGAAATACTGGCTTGCTGCAATGCATTAATGGAGATTTCTCTAAACCAGCAACCACTCCAAAGTAATCCTCATGAGGAACTGGGTTTGCATTTGTCAGCCAGATACTAACTGGTACTATCTGATTTCCGCAATATTCTGACATGTTCGGTATAAATGCTTCATTGTTGTTAAATTGTGAGTTAAAAACATGTGTATTACACATTTATAAAAGGCCTTTTGCATCCCCTCAACCAGAGGCCAAGTGATCCACTGCTTTGTGCAATGAAAAGCTAGAAGTTGTGAAATAAACTGTTCTTTACGGATTATTTCAAGTCTCTACCAGAGTAGGGCAACTACAGTCCTGATGCTGTAAGAGAGCAAAGGAAAGAGCAACCTTAAGGTAGAAGCCATGAGGAGGAGGAGACAGCTCCGATTCTAAATGACGTGGCCGTGTGGAATGAAAATGTGCAGAAACCCTGAGACTACTTTTGTCCCTCTTTCTGTTTAGAACTACCTGAAGGATGCCTGGAACGTGTTTGATTTTGTGACAGTATTGGGAAGTATAACTGATATATTGGTCACAGAAATTAATGTAAGTGCTTTCACCTTGCATAGCAGTCAGACTGTGTGAGCGCGTGCGTGTGAAAATGTGTTCTGTGTGCTTGTGAGTGTATGTGCTATATGTGAGTATGTGGGCTGCGTGAATGTACTGTATGTGTTTATTGTGAAGGTGTATGTGTGAATGTGTGTGTTCTGTGTGCATGTGAGTATGTGTGCTGCATGTGTGTTTGCTGTGTGAGTATCATGTGCATGTGAGTACACTACGTTTGATTGCGTGTGAGCGTGCTTGTGTGTGTGTGTGACTGTGTGAGCATGCTGTCATTAATTCTGGGATTGTGAGTGCAGTTCTCAGCAGTGCAGTCAGGCTAGGAAGCAAACTTGGTCACTCATGACAGTGGAAGCAGCTGGGGGTTATTGGTAATAGGATAAACAATTTACCAAGAAAATGACTATGAATCTACTTAAGAATTAATGGCACTGGAGCGCAGATAATAAGAAGAGGGATTAAGGGTAGTTCTGAAAGAAACAGACGAGGCCCTCTCCAGCAACTTCTGATGTGTAAAGCAGAGTCTGATTTAAGCGTTTGGGCCAAGAAAGCACCTCTGTCAGTGTGCAGCACTGGCTGGGCCTGTAGTCTCGCACACACAAGCTGATTAACCAGCAGCAAGTGAGTTCACTCTAGCCTGGGTTTCTTCCCCTTGCGCTACACAGTGTTTAGGTCTGTTCTTCTCTCAGTTTGTGTGGACTGGACCTGGCCTGTTCATCCACTCCACTACCTTTTCTTTTTTGGCTCCTCTTTTCTCCCTCCCTCTCCTGGCCTCTGTCCCACTTTCTTCTGTGCGTTCCATACCTCCGATGTGCGATTCTCTCCTCCTGGCGGCACACGCTCCCTCTGCCGGACGAATAACTGCCAACGCCCCTCCGCGGCATCCCTGGACCCACAGACATCGGTGAGTGGCGCTTCTTCCACGCAGCTGGACCCCGCCCTACCCGACCACTGCCCCCCGTCTCTGCCCCCCTCGTTGTCATCTTCCTCTTGCTCCAAGCATGTCTTCATCCAAATGTCTGAGCGTTCATCCTAGTGTCAGATTCACATGTGGCTGTTCAAGTTAATTGCTGTCAGAAACACGGCAGTAAAAAGAAACAGAAATGCAAGAGACTATGCAAAAAGAAAGTTTTCCTTTTGGTGTCACACAAGACATGGGGCTGTCTGCTGCCTTATTAACAACAGGCTGTAAGGCAGCAATCGCTGGCGAAGTCGACACAGATTCGTGAGCACAGCTCACGGATTGAAAGGAAGCACAAGGTGGTGGGACTGACTCAGAGCAGGCAGAGCTGCCACTCTGTTGGGTCCAGCTGCAGAAATAAAGCTTCCAGATTTTTCCTGAAGAGGCAGAGCAGCGAAGGTAGGGCCTTTAACAGAATCGAACCTTGCGTTGTGCTTCAGGATATGTAGTTCAGGCATGTGGAAGTACATCTGGAGCAGGGGCTCCTGGAAGGACGCAGTGTTTGCATGTTTTTCACCCCTGCCCTTTATGACCTTACTGAGCTGATCATTAGCTTGCACGCGCCACTTTGAAACTTCCCCTAACCACTTCAGCTCTCAATGATTTCAGCAGACCTAGAGAGCCTGCTGGTGTTGTACACCTAAATTCTAGAGATCATCCCTACATCCTTAGGCATGTTTAGCTCAGGAAATAAATTTGCCTCGTTCATTCGAGGCAAATAACACTCTAGGCGCCCTGGGTCTCGACGTGATCCTGGGAGCAGCCTTTGCGCTCAACATCATCCTGGAAGCATGTGGAAGAGACAGGTTGTTGCGGTGTCTAAGCCAGAGGTCTGATTTCTGTGGTTTGGTTCCTAGAACAAGCTGATCAACCTCAGTTTCCTAAGGCTGTTCAGGGCTGCCCGACTCATCAAGCTTCTGCGACAGGGTTACACCATTCGGATTCTGCTCTGGACCTTTGTCCAGTCCTTCAAGGTAAGCTGGCCATCGTCTGCTGTACCTGTAGCATCAGGTGATGTAGGGTGATGTGCTCCGCATTGTTAAAATGACATTGTTTGATGAGCAAGTGGGAAAAGCATATTAGTTTCTCTGCGCAAAACTTTCAGCTCTGTCTCTGCCAGCCCATGTTTAACTGTCATGCTGTCCTTGTTCCAGGCCCTGCCTTACGTCTGCCTTCTGATTGCAATGCTGTTTTTTATCTACGCCATCATCGGAATGCAAGTAAGTGGGTTATCTGGGTAGTAATACAGTATGAAGGTTTCTGCTCCCTCTACTGCGCTTGTGAAACGTGCTCGCCACTAAAAATGGCTCCCATATTCCAGTAAGAACTGAATAAGGTGATCCTGCGAGGAGATCCTTTCTTTTACTGAATTAGGAATGTGCAGTTTGTCATTTAGCATTGAAAGTAAATTTTAATCAACTGAGAGGCAACCTGCTCCCAAAAGGGAACTGGCCACTTTCTCAGTCAGGCGGCCGTCTCGTGTGGGAGATTTCAAGGCACTCTGCTGAAAGAAGACGCACTCTGGTCCAGATAAAAGACTTTGTAGGAAACTCCAGGAACATGACCTCTTTGGTTTTCTGCAAAAATACAATCAATACATGTGAAAAATGCAATACGTCATGAACCTAATATCAGTGATGGATGAATAAATCACACTGTTTGGAGGCTGATTAATCACAGAATGATGCTAATTGATGATGCTGTTTGTAATTTATAGTAATATTGTGTAAAGTCAACATGATTTGTGAAGAAATCTTTGTATTCACGTGATTACGTAATCGCCCTTGAATTATGCCTAGGGAGCAGAAATGCACTTTCCAGATGTATCTAAGCTTGAGGGCTTAATTAATAAATGATAAACACTTCATAGTGGATTAACGTCACGTCGGCAGGAAGTATTCGGAGACGTTCTCTGCAGTCTTCGGCTCCGGCCTGCAGTTTTACCACACTGTGTACTCTGGGATTCAGCCCAGGGTCTACAATGAGTTCGGGTTCCTAACAGACTCCTCCTTGTTTTCCAGGTTTTTGGAAACATTGACCTGCAAGACGATACAGCCATCAATCGGCACAACAATTTCCGTACCTTCTTCCAAGCTCTGATACTTCTGTTCAGGTAAACTAAATGACAGGGAACAGGCAAAGATTAATTCCACACTGAGAATTAGAAAGAGGAAACATGCTCAGGCAACTGAGCCTTCTGCACGTGTGAGCAAATGGCAAAAATCTGTTGTCTTTTCTTTCCGCCTTTCAGTGTGGAACCTTTAACTTTACGAGTTCCTTTGCAGCCTGCACTCAAGTCCAAAGGTTCATGTATGGTTTCTCAGCTCTTTAAAATTTCAAATGATCCAGATATTTAGCCTTTAGGTTTTGAATGTTGATGTAAAAACAAGGAACTTGCTGAATGAGTTAACAAAAAAACTGAGTTTAAACTCAGTAGTATACCAACAAATGCTCCTAAATTTGCGTCTCAAACGAAGCACTGCACTTGTAGTTTTTGTTTAAACCCACACCACCAGTAAGACATAATCAATGCATTTAACAGCTAATAATGTGGATCTTTATAAATCCGTATGGGTAAGTGCTTTTGAAACAGTAATCAGTAGGATATTCTTTACACAGAGGGTTCGTCAGATCTATTTTGTCATGTTTTCTCATGTTCATCGTATGTTTGCCCTGATTCTCCTGCCCATGGCTTTAACTGATGTGCTCCTGAAGTGGTTAAGCTGGAAATATCTGTTGCTTGTTAAGATTGTGCAGGTTGTCCTAGACAAAATGTTGTACGTTTCTCCCCAGGCTGCAGTGGACGACTAATTGAATTCCCTCAGGGGATCCATTCCCTTGCTTTTTCAGTGCAGTAGGGGCAGTACTGATGCCAGGGCACTCTTACATCACAGTTCCTCTTTTCTGGCAGGAGAGCTTGCGTTTTGAAATGTCACTTTTTCGTGGTTCTGTTCTGCAGCTGTAGAAAAATCAGTAAAAAAGAGCGCTTTTTGCCTTCTGTGAGGGTAGAATCCAGATGACCTTTCAGCTCATTTACTTGTCAGCTGCTGGGGCTGGAGGTCCTGTGCGCTGTGATGTCGTTGTCACACCATGCTTTCTTTATCTCATGAGCACGTCACTGGAGTCGGGGGTCAGATTGTCGCTTGGTGAAGCCAGCTGGTATCTTTTGCTGGCTTGATGACAGCAGAGGTGAACTGACACTTGAAATTACTTTCTTCTGTTGCAAAGGGTTTAACGGTCAGTCTTTAATTATTGCATAACCAAGGCACAGTTGTGGTCCTTGATTTCAAATGGAATTAGCTATTTGCTCCACTCCGCAGTGAATGAGTGAGAAGGAAATGGTGGGAAATTAACCTCTTTGTGTTTGAGCGCAATGGTGCCCTGTGGAGATAACTTTAACATTGTCCTAATATTTAATATTTCCCTAAAAGTGCAATTCAGCCAAAAAGCCAAGCTTTTATTTAGAAAACCCTGACTAGAATTAAAAGGACTTTAAAAGAAAGGAAATTAAGAATTAAAAGCAATGAAGTGACGTGCACTGACACTAAGGACTTGATAGTTCTCAAGCTAAGCAGGACATGCAGGACCTTCTTGTGTTTCTCTTTGCCACTTCAGATTTATGGGACTCGGCAATCCTGCTTTTTAAATCGAGTTAACCTTTGACCTGCCATTAGTGGAGATGCTGAAAGCCTCAGCCTCCAATGGCGACATTTTAGAAGCAAAGATATTGATTTCATGATCATAAAGGTTAGAGAGACCCGCTGAGATAAAGCTGTGAGGAAAAGCAGATGTACTGTAACGTACACACTGGGGTTAAAACCTAGTTTTGTATGCAGGCTGTCTTTTGGACTGCAGGATAGGTTCACCATGGCCATTTTAAAGCATATCGCATCATTAAAGAGTCATTGCAGCCCCTTATCAGGACTCCGTTTCTGGGTGGGATCCCACGTGAGCAAGGACACTGTCGAAGCGGCGTTAACCCTCGAGATGCCGCTCGTGGAGATGGTGATGCGCGGCAGCTTCGGCCTCCCGCTGGTGCTGGACGGGCTGCTGGAGCCCGGTCGTCACCGGGGGGGGCCCGTGTCTGACGCTGCCCCTCGGCCCGCGCGCCCTGACGCCTTCCCCCCTGCTTCCCCAGGAGCGCCACGGGGGAGGCCTGGCACGAGATCATGCTGTCCTGCCTGAGCAACCGGCACTGCGACGAGCGCTCCGGCTCCACTGGGAAGGAGTGTGGCAGCAACTTCGCCTACTTCTACTTCGTCTCCTTCATCTTCCTCTGCTCCTTCCTGGTGAGCGCCGCCTTTCCCGACAGCCCCTCTCTCCCGCCCCGCCGGCAAAGGCGCGGCCAGGTGTCGCTCTGCATGTCGTGTTACCAGCTGCAGAGTCTTACTGCAAGACATGAGGATTGTAGTTCACTTAGTATTTAGTTCTTCCATTTGATCTAAAGGTATGAGAAAGCTGTAGAATGATTTTTATGCTCTTTGCTAATAGTGTGTAAAAAAAGAGTAGGGGTGTTACCCCGATGCCCTAGCCGAATTTCCCCCTGGTCTTTACCAGTTATGGCCTCCTAATAATCCCCATCTCTGACCTGGCTTCATCACTCTGCTCAACTCCCCACTGAGAGCTGGTGTGTGACTGCCTGCATACTCTTGGGGTTTGCTTTTCGGGCGTGAGCCTGACACTTTGTCCTCTCCATCAGATGCTCAATCTCTTTGTGGCCGTCATTATGGACAACTTTGAGTATCTGACCCGAGACTCTTCAATACTGGGGCCTCATCACCTGGATGAGTTCATCCGCGTCTGGGCAGAGTACGACCCAGCAGCCTGGTATGTGTCCTTCCTTCACCTGGTGCAAGGTTCACTATTCCAGCATTTTCTAAAACTACTTCTCAACTGCTACTGAACGATGACCGGAAAAATACCTGCGTTCGGTTCTCATGTTTGGACAACCTAACGTTAGCAGAAATGTGTACATTTTATTACCTTACAGTGTTTTTCATCTACAGTAGCTCTGTGGAAACAAGAAGCGGACTCTTTTTTAAAAACAGAGCTCCAGGGGAATAGTAGATTAAAATTAAATAAAAAGCTGAGTACATAAAAAATGAAGGCTGATCTGAGAGAAAAAAAACACAACAATAATTAAACTGTCCAAAAGTGAGACAAGGAATTCAGTCCAATTCGATTTTGTGTTTTATTAATTCAGATATTGCTTTAAACTGGCAGGGTCAGGCTTTTCCCCTGAACCTTTGCTTTGTGGTTAGAGATGCAGACAGGGCGCACTGTCCTGATCCGTCTGCTCTGGGATATTGGTGAATCTCTTCCTGCCTCGGGGCACATCTCAGCAGAGAACAGTGGCGATGAGGTCCAGTAGAGGCTAATAGTATTGCTCACTGCATCATTTACTCTGCATTTCCAGCGTCCCCTCACACAAATCCAAGATACGAGAATAAAAATCAATCATATCCTGCCCATAACAACATATAAAAATTATTTTTAACCTTGTTTTTTTTAAATGCAGAAGCACCAGACTGGAAATGAGCCATCCTGTCATGAGGATGTCAGTGCTTCAGACGTGGTTAGCTCAGATGCAGTCTGAGTGCCAAGACGTTCCAGTCAGCAGGGAATGGTTTATTAAAAATGAAACGTCTATAAATCTCCTTGACTTCTGCATTTCAGTCACAGAACTGAAGCTGCAGATTGCATAGAAAAAACAATAACTGTATGCAGCACATTTTGAACATGCCTTCTGAAAACTGTGTGACAAGGCCTCATTACAACAGAAAAACTACTCATTGCTAGCAGAAAAGAGAGGACAGAACCCCCCCCCCATACTGGTCATCTGTAAAATACAGTTCTTGACATTTCTCACTGGATATATGTCCCTGGAGTGGCTGGGCTGTATCTCTGTGCGTTTCGGACACAGTGAAGAGACTCGTTCTTTTGATTTATTAACTTGTACCTGTTCTGACATACAGAAACCATTTATAGCATAACAGATATGTATGCTGGAGCACGTGTTTGTGGTTCAGGAATATGAGCTGGGCACTGCCTAGTGTCAATAGGAACTAAAAAGATCAAAGAGCTTTGATCATCCTTCTGCAGTTCAACTGCTCACACGTTCAACTGCTATCGTCTCTTCACACTTAGGCATGATCAGGGCTGGCGGGACTCCATGAAGTATTTATACTGCACACTGCAGGACAAATAGTCATTAATGACTAATTATTAACGAGCCTCATTAAGTTCTGCAGGAAATGAGTCGGCTACTTTGATACCCCATTCCTGATAAATGTGGAAGGATAACAACTCATTTCCGTCCGCCTTGGAGTAGTGTGGTAGAGCAATTTAAATTAACCTGTTCTGACAGCAGAGGTCTTTGGCTGGTGGTGCATGCTGCAACGTTGCAATGATTCTGCAATGATTCTGCAATGGTCGAGTGGCATTGTGGATCATCTGCAACACAGCAGAACTGAGGGTCTTGTGAGGCCAGTAGGACTGTGTGCTCTCCTTGGTGGCCATCACCCAAGAGCCGAGGAGAGAGGTAAAGCAGGTTGTTACAGAGCGCAGAATTACGCACCTCTGTGATGCTCTCTGCTTTTTTAGAAAGTGTCTTTTCTGAACGCTGCGAAACTTCAGTGTGAGTGGATGGGGGGGGGTACAGGTGATGTCGGTTGGCCTTCCCCTCTCACCCGGTCCAGTCTGTGTACTTCTGAGTCTGTCTTGATATTCATGTTCTAAACTCGGTTGTTCTCTTTTCAGCGGCCGGATTCTGTATAAGGATATGTACAATTTGTTGCGTGTTATCTCGCCTCCCCTTGGCTTAGGAAAGAAGTGCCCTAATAGGGTGGCCTATAAGGTTTGCAACCCAGACATCGATTCTCCCAGCTTCTCCAGACTACTGACCAGAGCCCTGACTGGCTGTGCAAGAGTGAATGAGTGGCTCGCCCATACTCTCCCCGCCCGTCTAACAACAGGCTTGTGGGGCACCATGCTGGAGCTGGAGCTGGAGCAAAGCCTTCAGGCTAATGTGTCGCCCAAAGGGGATAACAGAGTTCACACTGAGGTCCGAAAGAATTAGGTGGATCTCGCTGCAATGGTTTACCGCGCCTTCAGTTTTAATCCCTGTGAGCATCTCTCAGACCGTAAGATGATAACTCCTGCATTTGGCTTTATTGATTTGGCAGAAAGAACAGATCTGTTTGTTCACCTTTTGTCTAGAGATGTTGTGGGGGTTGATCCGAATCCAAAGATCCGGTGCCCCGTTTTAAGATGCCTGCAGGAGCGCTGCAGGGCGTGGTGCTTTTCCGGGCGTTTTGTTAAGAAACCAGGCGACCGCGTCGAAAGCCTTGTTCTCCCAGCTCCACATGGTTACCTGCAGATGTCTCTCAGCATGACGGAGGAGGCATCCTCGACACAACGCACTCATTTTCCCACCACTGTGCTCTGTGCTCCATACTCCTTGTTGAGAGCTCCCTGTTTTCTGGCAGGGAACAGGACAGCTTCAGAATAGCAGCCAGGCAGAGATCCATCTCTGCTCCCAGACCTTCTGCTGTCTGGGCAGAAATGGCATCTGGCTTCACACCTCTCTTGGAAATCTAAATAACAAAAGATTTCTGTTTTGTTTGTGTCGTCCTCCTGTTTGTCCTTTTGTTTCTTGCTCTTTCTCAACCCCCATCGTCATGGTTTTTGATTTATTCCTTTTGCCTTTGCTGTTTTTCCCTCCTCTCCTCAAGTGGCCGCATCGCATATCTTGATATGTATGAGATGCTGCTCCACATGTCCCCACCTTTAGGTCTGGGAAAGAAATGTCCAGCGAGAGTCGCCTACAAGGTAGCCAGAGAACGGCGGACTGCCACTTTGTCTCTCTTTCTTTGTCGGCTGGCCTAGCTCTGTGCTCTGCCATGCCAGTGTTTTCACACTTTTCTACTGGTGGTGTACAGTGAACCTGTCTCCGCACTCCACTGCACTTGGCTTTGAATAGTCTGACCTTAAGGCTGCAGTACAATAACATATCCAGTTAGGTGGGTATTCAGCTAGACATTTTAAACGAGCACAGAAAACATGAGCTCTTTCCCTGGGAGCACAGAAGCTGGGCTTGAACTGACTCTTTCGTCACTAAACCATTTCCTTCTGAAATACAGGGAGAATGGAAAGCGTTTCAAAGCTAAATCTTTTTTATTTAAATTTAGAGGCAGGCCAAGGACAGTTTTACACCTTTTCCTGTCTGGTTTATGTATCTAACAGCCTCCTGTTGCGATGAGCAACAGTCATTTGCAGCCAGTGTTGTAAATTAACGAGCTGTCTATGCTTCGTTAGTAGCTCCACAAATTCATCAAGTTTAAGTGCCTGTCTCTGACCTAACAGGGTTGCACTGAGGTTGAAATTAGTGACACTAGTCTGGCTGCATTCCCTGATTTAAATCTTAAATTAAAGCAGAAATCAATAAATGTAGCTGTGCAGTGAAGCACGGCATGTTTCCTTTTTTTTTTTGCTGTTCTAGAAATATTTATTACCTCCTGCTGTTGTGCGTTTACTGTCTCCGGTGTAGGTGTTTGTGTCTGGTGTGTTATCGTCTTTCTCTCTCCTTCTGCTGTACTGACTTTTGGCAAAAGCTATTTTTTTGGTTGACTGATGGGTGACCTTTCATCTTGCCCCTGCTGTCCTTGTTCAGTGATGTTCCCCTGTGACAATCATGGCTTCCCTGGCTTGTGTAGCTGTTGCTGCTGCAGCTGTACCGCCTGTGGTGTGCTCCTTGCTGGCTGTGTGTCTGTGCGTGCGTGCTCCTCGATCGGCCTCGGCACCCTGCTCCTCTCCTGTCTGCTTGACACTTCCCCCCCAACGTGCACAAACGCCAGTGACAGCGGGGTGTCTGTGTGCTGCTGTCTGTGCTCGGGGGGGCCCGACTCTGTTCCCCACTCCAGCAGGGGGCGCCACTGCTACTACCCATACTGCACTGCACTGCTAAACAGCTGAGTAAAGCATATCAATGCAGTTACTTAAAATACCAATATTGGTACTCTATACTATATGTACACAGCTGTAGATCTAAGTACATCGCACTGAAACACTGCAGGAGAAAGCACTGTTTTATGTCTTCTCATTCCATGAAGTCTGACTTCAGGCAGAATGCGTAGTGTAAAAAAAAGACCCATGTCCTGCAGTCTTGTGAGCTCTTAACTCCCACCCTAACTTAGAAGGGTGTTAATTTATAGACATACCATGTGACGCAGAGTCTTTCTTAGCTCCTGTGTGCCTGCAGAGTTGTGGCAGCATGAAAAAAGACTAATATCTTGGCAGACCCCCCCCTTTTTTCTGAGGAAGGTGTGTACGGGGTTTGTTTTGGCTACCTCCAGAGTTTACTGGGCATAAATAAATCATTTATGTGTCCAGGTAAAATTGGTCTGTGATGTGCAGCTGCCCCGACTCTGCTGCAGGGCAGCCTGTGGGCGCCAGGACTGGCGCTTGTAGTTCTAGATTAGTGGCAGTGGTGCACAGGGCTGGGCCCTTCCAGGTGTCATCTGCTTGTTAATTGCCATGTGCGTTCTTTCTTTCTCTCTGACCCCCTGTCACTCTCCAACGAGCTCACAATGACTCAGTAAGTCGCTGTTTACGTTGAAAGTGATCTTTCCCGTTCTTGTGCCCGTTTCCATTTCTTTATTTTGTTTTGCGCTGAGAGGGAAACCTTTTGAGTGTTGGCAAAGGACTCGCCCGTTTAGGAATCTCGGGCGGTCGCTCTGAAACCGGGCGCGTCGGAGAATAGCTGCAGGTTAGACCCTGTGCAGGTGTGCTGCAGAGGCACCCGTCGTGCACTGTAGAGGATAGTGGGGTGTGATAGACATTTTTGCAAAAGTCTCTTTTCTCCGTTTCAGAAAAGTGGCCTAATTAGGCAATCCGATGACACATCCTCATTTATTAAAACATAAAACTGTCCAATCAGTAAGAAGATGCAGTACAAAGAAAATAATAAATTCGGACTTTCTGAATAGAAATATCTGTTTGTTAAAGAAGATGACACCTTAAAAGCAGGTGGTGGCAAAAAAAAAGATGTTCTCCTCAATTAATCTGGTAGACTATTCAATAACTGACAGAATGAGGTATGTTGAGCTACAGTACCATTGTGGCGACAGAGTTTAGGCAGTTTGCCTTGTGAATCAGCACTCAAAACGTTGGCCCAGGAGCTGTGTGGAAGTGATGCTCGGAGAGAGAGAGGCGCCGGGCTCACTAACGCTGCCGTCTTCCCACCCCCTGCCCAGCGCCTGGTGAAAATGAACATGCCCATCGCCGAGGACAACACCGTGCACTTCACCTCCACGCTGATGGCGCTGATCCGCACGGCGCTGGAAATCAAACTGGGCTCAGGTAGGAGAGATTTACCTTCTAAAAGAATCTGGCCTGTCTTGCACCCCAGAAAGAGTATTTCGTTCCCCCTGGGGGTGTGCACCCCAGGTTAAGAGCCACTGCTCTAAAGCAAGGCATTGGCACCGTACACAGAGTGCAGGAGACCAGGGGACACCTGGGCAGCCTTCTGCTTTCAGCCTGAGAGTCGTGTATCAGGGCTGGACCGAGAGCTCCAGCCCTGATACACGACTCTGCTTCCAGATCCCAGAGACAAGCCAACAGCAGGCAAGCACTGCTACCACAGAGAGGCTTCCTGTGCCCCAGATGAGCACTGGCTGCACAGATTTAAAATGCCACAGTGCATTGAGGCACCTGGGCATGCGTTATTCTCATTCATCTATTCAGTGCTTGATGTTTGGGCACCTGTTTTTTTATTCACTGTATACTGTTAATCCTGCTTTTTTAATTACCTTGCCCTGCTATGATCCATTCCCATTGGACCCATTAAAATTGTGAAGCTCGGGCCTGCTGTGTTTGAGCAGTGCCTTAGTACAGTGTGAGTTGCAGCCTGAGCACTCAGGCTTTCCTCTCCTAATGACACGTGGGAACTGTGAGTGTTCCAGACTTCCTGTGAAACTCTTTTCTTTCCTGAATGTCTCTTTCCGGGACCTTGAGAGGATTATCCCTGTAAGGCCTGGAAAAACTTGCTATTTCCTCCTAGGCTCCTTCTGTTAGATTATCTTCAGTTAACTATCCACTTCCTGTTGAGCACTAATGGACGCTGCTTCCCAGAGAAGACTTTTACAGGAACTAGGAGGAGTGTGAGCCAGGAGAGGGGTGACAGTCCCTCATGTCTCCTCAGGGGTCATTCAGCAGCAGCTGTGTGATGCTGAACTGAAGAAGGAGATCGCCACCGTCTGGCCAAACCTCTCTCAGAAGACCATGGACCTGCTGGTGACTCCACACAGGCGTAAGGATACAGAGGATGTGCTGTTGTAACGGTCGTGTGTTTGGTTTCTGGATCACAAGGCTGTACTAGGGTTAAATGCCTGAAAAAACACTGCTTCAAAATTCCACTTTCAGTTCTGACTGTATTTAGTCATTTAAAATGTTCAGATGTAATATAACTTTGATCCAACACTATCAGTCTCTTGAGCAATCAAAGCACTTTGTGAGACTTGTATTAATAGCAGTAGACTTGTTTTCACAGTAATATAATATACACAATATTATGATCTGCGATCTGAGAGCAACCAGCTTTGTTTTGGGTCTGATGTTCTGAGAACATTCTTCTTTTGGATTAGAAGCTTCATATTTAGTACTAAACCAAAAAGCATTTTAACTGGCCAGTTAAGATCCGTCGTGCGTACGGTATTTATATGTTCTGTTTTTAACTTTGCAAGCACTACATAGTTTAGCTTGCATCGCAGCCCTTAATTAGTCAGCTCTACAGTGGGGCAGCCTGCTGTGATGGATTCTGTCACAGTGGAGCTGTCTGCAGCGTTGCTCAAGCATGGCTGTGGCTGCGTCTGCAGCCGATCTCGATGGCCTGCTGCCCTAACTGGCTCTCTGGGGCGGAGCCCCCGTCCCCAGGACAGCACAGCTTGGCTGATTTCGGCCGGGCCTGCAGAGGGAACCTCGCTTGCACCATCTGGGCCTCTCCAAGCGTGAAAAAGCTCCACTTGTTGCAACACCGCCTGACGTCACTGCACAACTGAGGCAGCTGAGCCACTTGGGCCATGTTCTCTGCCTCTGTTTTTGTTGACATTGTTTTGACGTTGTTTATTGACAAAAACAGTTTTAGTAAGTGCATCTCTGTTTTTGCAAAATAAGCAAAACGAAAACACAAGTGGGATGCATGGGGGGGCAGTCGTTAGCAATGCTGCTGCACTGCACTGGGGCCCAGGGTTCAATTCTAGACCTGTTGTGCTGTCTGTGTGGAGTTTGTGTGTACTCCCTATTTTCATGTGGCTTTCCTCCTTCCTCCTGTCCTCTTCCACAGTCCATAGCCACACTGGTACATTAATTGGCTTCTGGAAAAATTGACCATGGTGTGAGTGTGTGTCTGTGTTGGTGTGTGCGCTGCGATGGAGTGGCGTCCTGTCCAGGGCGTACCCTGCCAAGTGCGTTGTTTGACGTGACAGGCTCCGGCTCCCCCTCAGTAAACAAAATGGATGGAAGAAAATTAACAAGCTGATATCATTTATATGATTGGTCAGGGTTGTAGGTAGCATTGTAGCATAGTGTTTAGCATTGTTGCCTCCACATCTGGGTTAGATTCTGGACTGCAAGGCTTTCTGTGTGGAGTGTGTTGAGAACGTAAGAATTATTGCAAATGAGAGGAGGCAAGTTGGCCCATCTCATTTTGACGGTAGCTAATTCCAGTATTGTCGTGCCTTTTCTGTAACAGTTTCATAGTTGAAAACATAGACGCTTAGAAACATAGTTTCAGAAGAACATTGAGCTCACGTCCACACAGTGAACACCAGTCAGGGGCTACTGTGCATGGAAGGGTAAGGCATACAGAATCGGTTTACTGTTACACCTGGAGCTCTGAGCTCTCGCAGGGGAAGGGCGCAGTTTGCGACGTGTCGTGTGTTTTTCCCCCTGTAGCTAACGAGCTGACGGTGGGGAAGGTGTACGCCGCTCTGATGATCTTCGACTACTACAAGCTGAACCGCAGCAAACGGCTCCAGCAGCAGCAGCAGACAGCGGGCGGGCTGCCAAAGGTAAAGGGCTTCGCTCTGCTGAGATTGAGCTCCCTGAGCCCCAGTGGGATTCCTGCCAGGGGAAGAGTGGAATCCAGAGCGGCCGGTCCGCTCTCCGCTCTCCGCAGCGCGTCGTGGAGCCTTGCTCCTGGGCATTGCCTGGATGCTCGATGCCGAGAGTGCGGAATGTTCTGTGCTCTGGCTCTTAGCTTGTCTGTTCCTCCATTTCAGAACAAGGTGAGCGAGCTCTTCAAGCCCATGCTGCCTCTCACCCTGATGCGGGACCAGCTGCCGCCCATGAACAACACCAAGCCGCCCCCGCAGCCCGCCAGCACCACCTCCCTCAACAACGGGGGCGCCTTGTGAGTACAGGGGGACCGCCCCGCACTGCCACACCACACCCTGTTCCACCCTCCCCCGCCACACTATGCAATATCGCACCCTGCCCCGCCCTGCCGTGCCCCTCCCTGCCCCGCTGTGCCACTCCCTGCCCCGCCCTGCTCCACCCTGGCAGCTTGTGCTTTTGAAGCTTGTACAGTTTTGTCTTGCTCTTATCCTGACATCATCAGGTCATACCTGTGGGATATGGGTCCCTATGTGCTCTCTTTCACAATTTGTAAGTAGCATTAATTCCCAAGAAAATAGAGGAACCAGAAGAGCAGGTTGCACATAATGTAAAAAATATTTCTTAGGCTAACTGTGAGCACCTTTTGTCGAAAAGAACACCTTTGTAAAGCATCATTGTCCTTCCACTAGCAAATATGTAAATCTTCACAGTTAAAGTGCAGGTGCTGTGGTCAGTGTAGTGTGTGTGCAGTGTGTAGCAGCTGGGAAGAGCCACTCCGCATGCTGACCTGCTGGGCATCTGTGTGTGTGTGCACTCATCCAGGCCAGGCCAGGACACCGCTGTCAAAGAATCTCCTTCCTGGGTCACGGAGAAGGCACAGGAAGTGTTCCAGCTGAACAAGAAGCGGCCGGTTCAGAGGGGGCAGTCTGAGGACATCCCCAACACAACCAGAGCTCAGGTACCCTGCCTGACTCCCGCCAGGCAGCTTCAGTAACGCCTGTCACACCAACTTGTCCATTTTGTCACTCCAGTCTTGCTTTCATCTTGTTTTTTTTGGGGGGGGGAGCGGGGTGCAAGTGAGGGCTTTCTGTGTGCACCTTTCATCAAAAGGAACAGCTTTGTAAGACATCACCACCTCATCACCAGTGGTAATTTCCTGGGATGTTGTGAAAATGCGCCGGGGGTGGGCGGCGGCCATGGTCTTGATCTGATCCGCGTGCCGTGTGTCTCAGGAGGCGGTGGAGATGAAGAAGATGGACCACAGTGCCAATGGAGAGAGCCAGCCAGGCCTGGAGAGCCAGGGCAGAGCGGCGTCGATGCCCAGGCTGAACGCAGAGATGCAGGTACACCAGCACAACTCTCCCTGTCTTCACCTCCTGCCCGAGGAGGCACCTGTTCGCACACGTCTCTGCTGTGTGTGTTCTGTACCTGAATGGTGGTGAGGGAACTGAAGTATTAAGAGTTAAAGCCCTCTCTTGTGATCAAAGTGCTTAAAACTTCAGTCATACAAGGCAGAGGTTTTTTTATTAGCAGATTTAGCGATCAGGTCGTGATTGAGTGCCTCAATGAGTATGTACAGCTTGCCAAACTTCACAGGAGGGAATAAGGATGCAATTTAACTTTGTGTGTAAATCTGCTGATGACCGATTCAAATGTGTCCTTTAATTAGAATTGCAAATGACCCTCAGGTTTTTTTCAACAGCAATGTCATTGCTGGACAGAGGACATTTCTGGAAAATAACACTACTGTCTAATAGACTACTGTCTAATTATAATTATTTTTAAAAAATGGTGCTTTGCCTGGAATTTGTATAAGCATTTTTATTAATCTGATAGATTCCAAGCATTACCCATTAGTATTAAATTTTGTCTGTTTTTTCATTAATGTATATATGCATTTGTGCCTGCTTGTATTTGTAAGAAGTATTGATCTGATTGAATCACAAGAATTGACAACAGTGGCCTTCTAAAGGTGATACCTCTAAGTTTAAGTGATATATTTCACATTTGCATAGCATTTCAAAGATAATTTTTATTAGAAAAATAATTGACTAGAATGTATGTACTGTTGTTAGTGGTTTTTGGCATGTAAATAACATTCAAGTGGTAGGGTAGTTAAAAGATAGTCAAAACATTCCCAGGTCAGGCCACTGTCTTCTTGTCTGTACAGAGCAAGGTGGGTTCCAGTTTTTTAGATTTTAAAGGGAGCTGCAGTGTAGGTGTTTTGTAATTCCCAGATAGCATTTGCATTTTGGCCTTATACTCTGAAGGTTATATGAATAGTAATTAAAAAGCAGGAGAAAATGTCCTGAATTTTAAAATTTTGACTCTTTAAAGTTTGTGACAATTTAGGAAGATATCCTGGCATCACAAGGTTGAGTAACACTGAAAATATTATTATTATTATTAATATTATTATTCACTTGATTTATCACTGCCTCCATTCACAAATCCAGAATTATTTATTTTTATTTTTTAGACTTATTCTTCTGCGTAGACGTTCTTCTGCATCAAACACCACATTGTGTGTAAACACTGTACTCCTGGTGCATGTTCAGTAGGTACAGGCATAGCGTTAAGAGCCTGATCTCAGCACAGCAAGCAGCAGGGGAAGGGAGAAACAGCACGCTGCCCTCTTTCAGGGAGAACTCTTCACTGCATGCACACTGCTTAGGGACCCAGCGTGGCAGAGCTGAACGGGCTGTAGGAGCTGAGATCCAGTCTCGGCGCATGCCCTGGCCTTTGCTAAGTGAGCAGGCCTCTTTTATTCTAATAAACTGCAGTGGAGAGAGGAACCTGGGGCGATGAGCTTCTTGGGCTCTTCAGTGATCACACAAGCCCAGGGGAGGCACGGCAGCCTGAGGAAATGAGGGATCAGCCTTCTGCTCTGCAATGCCGACCCAGGGCAGAGCGGAGTGAACGGACAAGCTCAGCCCCAGGCTGGCTGTGTGAGCTCGGACTGCGTCCTGTCCAGCGCTCAGAGTTGAAGGGACTCGTATGCCTGCTCTCTCTCTCTCTGCTTTCCCTTTTCCATGTGTCATTTTGAAGCCGTCTGCCCTGGAGCCAGATGATCAGGACACGAGCATTCGGCTAACAGTAACTGCTGCTTGTGGAAAGTCAAATCTTCATAAGGTTACCTGTCCAACTGAGACGGGGACTCCCCAAAGCATGGCGCCTGGTTAGCTGAGCGTCGCCGATAGTAACGCTGGGATTATTTGGCCAGGACCCTCTTGGCACCCAGTGACAGGGCGATCTCTGCAACTTCCTGCGTAGTTACTGTATAGCTCCAGCATGTGAGGAGCTTGCAGGAGATACGACAAGCACATGATCCAGTTTCGTTTGGCTATCTCAAAATAAAACGCGCGCACGCTATCTTAGGGATTAGCTGTGCTTCAAAAAGAAAACTCAATGGAGGCACCGAGGCTTTGTGCTTAAGAAACAAAGGTAGAACCCAAAAGAGCCTAGAAAAAGAAATAAATCATTCTGGCAGTTAATAAGAATAAAGCTACATTGTTCCAAAAAGCCACTCTGCACAGTGATATTCTCTTCCAGGGCTAAGAAGCAGGTCTATTAAATCTGACTAATGCTGGAGAGCATCCAATTTTAGGTCCAAACTTAAACCTACCATTTCAGAAAAAAATCCTTTTAATTTAATTAAAGATTTCTAGATTACAGGTTTCAAAGGTGGACCGGCACTCCACTCTTTCCGCTTAGCTTTTATCGTGCTTCCTTTCAGAGCGGGCTAGTGTGTTGGCACGGCAGATTGAGCCCGCGGTGGGTTGGGACTGTCGGAGGGTTAATCTCCCATCCCAAAACCCAGCCCTCTCCTGTGGGAGCCCACATTGTCAAGGAGGAGACTCCCTGCTGCTCTCCGGACAAGCAGGGGGAGGCCACCCACCTCATGCTCCAGCATTCTCCCCTCTGTGTCTTTATGTTTCTGAAGAATTAAGCGAGATCACGCGTCTCTGGCTGTGTGCATTCCCCCTGATTTTAGCACTTGTAAATGACCGGGTTTTGGGACACACTTACGTACTGGAACAGGGCTCCTCAGTGGTAGTGCTGGACAGCAACAGGCCCCCAGATCTTACAGCGATTCTGAACTCCTCGGGGATTAAAGAAATAGTTGTTAAGCTGTTAAGAGTGATTAAGTATTCATGGATTCATAGATTCAATTAAATCATTAGAGGCTCAGAAGGAAAAGAAACCAAATGAACCTGTGGGCCTCCAAATCCAGCCGTGGGTAGTTCTGGACTAACGTGTTTAACATGTGTTGGTCAGGCTGAGCTGTGTGAATCTGGACCACTCTTCTGAAGCATTGAAAGGCATCCTGGGAAATGGAGCAGCACGTTCAGTGACAGAGGGTTTGGAAGGGTTTTACACTGACAAGGATTAACTCAACCTCCTGAGAGATGTCTCTGCACTTTTTACTTTTGTAGCTGTCTTCTAACACGTTGAAAAAATTATTTGTCCTTGTTCCATAATGCATTCATTTTTTCTTAAACATAAGCTTTTTATCCAAACGTTGCAACGGTCAGTGAAACATAAGAATTATGTTGGGTATTGACATTATAGCATTACAAGGCTACGCTGCATATGATCTGACAGATCTCCTATCTGTTTCATGCTGAAGGAGACTGTCTGTGTCTTTGATTTTTTTTCATACCCTTAATTTCCTTTTCCCTGTGCGGCCAACAGCAGGATTTGTATCTGGAAGTCCAAGCTCATGCAGGATGCTCTTTGTGTGTCTGACATGTGACACTCCGCACTGCCCAGTCCATCAAAGGAGCCCATTACCTTCCCAAAAAAACTGTGCAACACAAAGAGAAAAGAAATGCCTTTCATTTCCAATAAGTAATCTTGAGACTTAAACCCACCTCAATCCCTTTAAACTGTGACAGAGCGACAAAGGGGAATTTGAGACTGGCTGAGCGATTTCAACACCTGCTAATAATGAGAAACTGTACGTGTGACTGCATTGCTCAGGAGAGTGGTTTTGCATTCACTGGCCTCTTTCCAGATTTGTAAAAATAAGACAAGGCCCAGATATCTTTCTGGACAATTCCTCCTTGTGTGGTGTGTGTGCAGGCTGAGGCTGTGGTCTGATGAAAGAAATGTGGACGAGAGATTTCTCTTTCTTTGTTCACTAATCTGAATTACTGATCTCTGTTGAAAAACATACCCTGTTAACAAATTCTGCATTTTGTGGGCATCCTTTGAGAGAAATGTCTAATTCTGGAACTATATGCAAGCAGAGGAATGGGACGTCACATTGATAAATGAAAACAACCCCCAACTCTTGCCACTTAATGTGTGTGGGCAGCCATGCAAATGCATTAAGATTTTGGTGTTGTATGCATATCCTGAACACAGATTTGACAGGTGATCTTGTACCCTACCCTGCCTGCCTGATTGTGCAATTTTACTGTTTTAAATCAATGAAACTCGTATTCAGTTTGGAATCAGCAAGCTCTCTGACCTAGAAGTTGCATCGATTGAGCACAATCCACCTAAAATCTGTGATTTTACAATTGAATTAATTGACATTTTTTACGTGAAAAGGTGTTGAATATTCCCCTGCATAACTGGGAGCTGAATTTCAATAAATTGCTGTTGTTACAAAGTCTGTGGTATTCCTCCCTTCTGGAGATCTGAGAACCCGGAGAGCATGACTGCTCTTTCTGTGAAAAAGGGCTTCCCTCTCTAGAGAAAAACACATTTTTCTCGTTATCAAATATTTTCTTGATTTTTTTTCCCCCCTTTACTTTCATCTGCTCTTGTCACCAGCAGCGCAGTGCTATGTGCAGTCATTACTCATGTTCTTCAGAGAGCCTCACTGTGTCATGCTGTTTTCTCTGTGATCTCCAGCTGTGTTAGTTACTCATGTGTCTAATGATGTGGTTCCTGTCTTGTCTTGCTTTGCTCCTTGTCCTCCTGTTTCCCCTCTTCCCTCTCCTGCCCTTCACCTCCTTACCCCATACTCCCTCCTCTCTGCCATCTCCTTCCCTCCTCTTCCTCTCCGCTCTTGTCCTCTTCACCTCCTGCCCTCTCCTTCCCTCCTCTTCCTCTCTGCTGAGGTCTTCTTCATCTCCTCTACTCTCCTCTCTTGTCTCCTGCCCTCTCCTCCCTGGTGCTCTCTTCCCTCATCCTTCCTCTGCCTACCTGCCTGGCGCCTGGGCACATGGCTGCTCTGTGGCTCGCCTCCACCTGTGTGCCGTATCGCAGCGGGGCCATTCTCGAACTCCGAGGACGTACCTAGCAGTATGTACAGCTGTTCCCAGTATCATATATCACTGTGTTCATTGCTCACTTTCTTTCTGGTTTCCTTTTGTTGGGATCAACCCTCTCTCTGTGCAGGAGGCATGACTAGGCCAGTGGTGTCTCTTGGGAAAACCTGCCCGTCTGCACAGAGGCTTGGTTGAGCTTCGTGTTGGTGCCTTACTGACTTCATATTTACCCTTCTGATTGCCTCACAGTACACTCCCTTTCTAGCCTGGGCTTGTGCTGGGTCACGTATTTGAAAATAAATGTGGACTTTCCAAATATAGTCAGCACTTGCTTGAACATATTGCAGAATCTTTTCGGAAAAAGTTCCAAGTTCCTCATGCCTAGATGAGTGTGTACAGCATGTTCGCAGCCACGCTGCGCTGTGCTGTCTGTCCGTGCCTGTCTGTCCAGTGACGCTTTGTTGTTGTTGTGCCTCCTGCTCATCATCTCTCCTGTGTGCCATCAGCAACCTGCTCCTTCCTACTGAAGTCTTACCTCAAAAGCCCTTTGTTTATGAAAAGAAAAACTGGCGCTGTGCAAGAATTTGGGAATCTCTTCTTTCTGATCAAGGCAGAATTTGAAGTGGGGTATAGCATCTGGAGCACCTGCTTTGTGAGGGACACGTCCAGGTTAATGGACATATTTCATTATGTCATTAGGAGGCATGAGAAACTTTGGATCTATCCCTGAATTTGAAGTATTTTTTTCTTTTGCACCTGAGTGTCCAGGGAGTGTTTCTTTATTTTGAGAACAATGTTGAGTTGTCCAGGTATTTATCTTAAATACACTAAACATCTTCATTTAAGCCTGTTAAGTCAGTGCTTTGTCCCACCTTGTGTCTTTTAATTCTTCCCTTCAGTACTCCTACCTGTACGTCTTCTGCAGTGAAGTTTGAACACAAACAATAGAGGTGTTGATTTCTTCAGGCCTCGCCAGATGTTTTTGTTCAGTTCAAACTATTTTACAGCACCCCAAAACATGTGCTGCAATAATACATAGTATTGCATCTAAATATATACAATAAATGCAATACAACATAAAAAATAAATATATAACGATACAGATATATTTACACTGTGTATATACTGTATGTTGATATTTATTCATAGAAGTGGTCTGGTGTAAGTACACATCTGCAGCACGCTAATATGGGTGTCTGATTGCCTGTCTGTGAACTGACCTTGTTATGATTCACCTGTTCTTCAAAGCCTGTTTTGATGGTGCTTTCTGGGGTGATTGGTCTTCAGCATGTTTAATGATACACACCTGTCTCCAGCTGGAGATTAACAGAGTGGGTATTTCATGTCTCTCCACCAAAAACAAATCCAAGTGCATTTAAGATGTGACAGCCAGGTGTCTTCCCAGGCTTTCATTTTGTAAAGAGCAAGTTGCCTATTCTGCAATCTAGGATAGATGAAACTCATCATTTGGCTTTGATGATGTTCAGCTGGTGCCATTAACGTACTGTTAAAAGTTATGCGCTGATCTGCCTGGAGAAGTGTGATCAGGCGAGGAGGAGGTGGGAGGTGGGCTCGTATCTTTGTCAGCACTAGATTCGCAACTTTCTGCATGTGTGAGGCGCTAGACACTTGAACTAGGTGCTCCTCCCTGCTGCCGTGCTAAGTGGGGGCTAATGTCACCTTCACACACTAAATGCAAAACACCATCCAGGCACACCCAGTGCTCTACCATGTGTGTAACTTGAGAAAAATTAAATTCATCAGTTGTTTTGGATTTCTACACAAATGCAGAAGCAAGAAAGAACATTGCAGACAGGAAAGAAAAAGAGATAATTTCCATCTCCTTGACAGTGTTCTCAGTGTCCAGTGGAGGGAGACAGTCAGCCTGTCCACTAAACTAGTAGAAAAAGCACATGAGCTTTCAACCTCTAGTAACATACCATAAACATAAGGCAAAATTCACCAAGTTTATTTCTACTGAAAGTGATTCATACGTTAATTTAGTCGGTCCCTGTGGAAGTACACATACAGTGTCTCGACCAATGAAAAAACCTATGTCATAGAGGACGTTAGATTTTAAGAAAGGTCACCTGTTTATCAGAATAAGGTGAGTTTTTAGTAGGGGAGAGACAAGAGCCTACAGAACCTAGAGCCATTTGTTTCATTTCAAGCAGACGCACTCTGTCAGAGGCCCAGATGAGCCCTTTCGAACACTCAGGCCTGAAGACTGCAGGTGTTTTCTGTCTCTGAAGTGTCTGGTAGTGTTTTAAGAAACTGATTTGTAAGTAAATTTGCTTCACAGTCTTGCAAGAAAAGTCGTCTTTGAGGCCTTTAACTGGTCCTTGTCTGTTGCTGCTTTTGCCTTACCTCCCCTCTCTGCAGCCCATTCCTGACACAAGCCCCATGAAGCGCTCTGTGTCCACGCTGGCTCCGCAGCGCCCCCCAGAGGTGCACCTGCCTGATTACGCTCTGGACCGCCCGGGGCCCGACCGGCCCCACCATCACCATCACCACCACCGCTGTCACCGGCGCCGGGAGAAGGACAGGAAGCAGCACTCTCTGGACAGGTCTCCCAGTGGCCAGACCCACAGCAACGCAGGTTATGCATTTGCACTTATTAAGATGATATTGCTCTTAAATGTGCACTCGATCCGTTTTTGCTGCACCTTCCATATAGGAGCATGTGCTTTTGGACAGATAAATCGGGTATTTCTCAAAGTGAAGCCAAGCTGTCAGCTGTGGTTCTTGTTCAGGGAGGTACTGTATCTTTCATGTCGGCTCGGACAGCTGGCATTAGCCTGAAGTACCAGGTGGATCCAGGTTTTGTCACCCAGGTGAAACAGTAGCTGCAGAAAAAGAGGAGCCTAACCCACTGTGGTCCCTGCGAGTCTTTGATTAGGAACCAGTAGCAGAGCCCTGAAACACAAAGTGATATGAATGGTTCTTGTAATGTCCTGTGGTCTATGAAGACAACAATGAGAGCACGCTTACAGATGTCCCCCTGGTTAGGACAGTTCCCATGAGTCCTGTGAGTATGGTCCAGTTTTCGCAGTACAGGCATCTGGAGCTGGAAATCAGACAGTAAAGTAAAGTAAAAGTAAAGTAAAAATTGGGTTCCGACCCTTTTCGTTCTCTGTCTGAGCGGTTGTGTTTCTGGGACTGGGGGGGTTTAGGCACGCCAGGAGATCCGGGCTCTGCCGTCCCGCTGGGGGAGGCCACGTCGCGGGACAGGAGGCAGGACCGGGGCCGGTCCCACGAGAGGAAGCACCACTCCTCGTCCTCGGAGAAGCAGCGGTACTACTCCTGCGACCGCTACGGCAGCCGCGACCACTCTCAGACCAAATCGAACACCGCCAGCCGCTCGACCTCGCCCGTCGACACCCGCGAGTCCGGCCTCAACAAGCAGGTGAGGTACCCCTCCGAGAGGGGGGGTACAGGGCAGGGACCTCCGCCCTCAGGCCCCCAGGCCGAGAGGCGGGGCGGGGCAGCTGCCAGCTCCTTGAGAACAGCCCTCCCTTGAGCGTCATCGGTCAGAGCCTCAAGCTTGACCTGACCTTGAGCCACTGCTGGATCTGTCCAGGTCCGTTCAAATGTTAACGGACTCTATACAAATAAAAATCAAGGGATTTTTATTGCAAGATGCTGCCCAACTCTAGACTGTTATTCCAGTATGGTTTTGTCAGTCCACAGAAGTGAAAGGTATCATGGCTGGGTTTACTGGGCTCCTTAATCGCCTGGTCTGTTTTGACGTTGTTCTGAAGGACGACGTTAATCTTGCATGGTTCCCAGTAAAGATTTTGCTCTTTAGTAAGAGCCAGTTGCTCGTGCTGAGAAGCTGCAGTGGGACAGAATAGGTTAGTGTCCGTCTGCTTGAGCTACAACAGATGGAAACGACTGCTGCAGACAGCACTTCAAAATGAAATGCAACCTGTAATCCTTCACAGCCCTCTCTCCCTGTAGCCCTGACTAGGAGCTTTCCTGCAGCAGTGATTGTAGAGATCTGTAAGAGCTCTGGGGTTTGGGAGGCCCAGGGTAAATCTACACAGCTAGTGGAAATTCGCAGGATTTCTGTCTCCCTGGGCGGGTGTACTTGATTCAGTCTCCCAGCCTGTGTGTGATGGTGTGTGGTGATTTGTGTGTTTGCAAATATCTTGTTCGTCTGTGTATGTGCGTTGGGTATGTTCCGGGCTTCAGGTTAATGAGATTACGGTATCAAAATAATATACTGCACATGCTATACTGAAGAGTTGTGCTTGATTGAAACCACCATCTTGAGCATGCAAATTGAGATGCAAAAGAGAAAACATATAAAAGAGAGAGACAATACATTTTGATCTTTAGAATATAGACATTATCACAGAAGTGTTCTGCTCGTTTCACAAGTGTTCAAATGTATTATTAAAATGCTGCTTTAATATTAATATTTGAAATCCTTTTCACATTTAAAATTTTAAACATGAGTCAAAGGTTTTGCAAGGGGTGTTCTGCTGAGTTTTGATTTGTCTTTGAAGTGTTACGTAGGTTGTTAAACTTTTAGTGCCTGAGCCTGTTGACCTCTGCAAGTCATCAGAGAAACTGGCTGATCTTCTGCCTGATGATACACGTGGACAAACATGAGTTTGTCTGAACACAGCAGAGTGTTGCCTCATTCCTGTACATTCCTGTGCTGTAAGGCAAGGGTCTGCCGCCCTGGTGCTCATGCCAACACGGACCAGCGCGTTTCCTGGGCCTCTTTAAATCACTAGAAGCTTAACAGGACCAAACGAAGACAAAATGAACTTAAGAATGTTTACAAACGAGAGGAGATCGTTTGGCCAATCTGTCTCTTTTGGCTGCTGATTAGTTCATCGATGTGAGGATCTCATCCATCTGTCTCTTTAAAAGACTCAGGGTATCGGCTTCAACAGTATAGCTGGGCAGCTGGTTTCAGACACCCACGGCTCTTTTTGTTACGGTGTTCCTCCAGTTAACAGTTTAAAAAAAAACTGCTAAGTGTTCTCCACATGTCTTAAGGTGTTGATGATTTAAAGGGACCCAGAAAACCTGCTGGATTTGCTGTCTGTCAAGAGCCAGGAGCGGAAACCACAGCTACTGTACATGATGTGAAAAGAGATCTGTGGTTTTCATCAGCAGAACTAAACCAGATCAGCTCGCACTGCACTGTGTCACTGTTCAGAAGCGCTGCTGTTCCTCTTTGCGCCTGTTACAGGCACTCACGAAGATTTGTTCTTGTCTCCGATTTTCTTCTTCACCATCTCCCGTTTGTCTGTGTCTCGAACCCGTGTCCCTACATGGCTGTGGCCTTGCTGTGCCTCCTGTCCCGCCGCTCTGCGCTTCTGTCTCTGTCTCTGTCTGCGCCGCTCCTGCCCCTCTCCTCCTCGACTCTGCTCTGTTTCCACTTCCTCCTCTCGCGCCCCCTGTCCACGTGCGCCCCCTTTTTCTTTCTTCATCATTGTTTTTGTTTTGATTCGCTCTGTTCCAATTTTCATCTAGGGCAGTGGTTCAGCTAAGGGGAGCCCGCTGATGCTGACCTCTGGCGACAGCACCCCCTGCCGAGGGCGCAGGCAGCTCCCCCAGACCCCCCTCACCCCCCGGCCCAGCGTCGCCTACAAGACCGCCAACTCCTCGCCCGTCCACTTCGGCGCCGCCACGCCCGGCGTGCCCTCCTTCTGCCCGGGCCGGCTGAGCCGCGGCCTGTCGGAGCACAACGCCCTGCTGCGCGGTGAGGGCGACTCGCAGGTCCGCGCCCACCTGGCCGTGACCCGGATCGGCTCTGACCCGTACCTGGGCTACCGGGACGATCGCAGCGGCCCGTTCTGGGCCCTCCCGGAGGACGCGCTGGCCGCCCACGCTGACCGCTCCCCCAGGACTTCAGCCTCGTACGGGGTGTCCCTTCCGCCCCCACCCCAGCTGCAGACCCGGGGGGTCCCCAATGGATACCATTATGCCCTGGGTGTCAACGCAGGGCCTGGCTCGGGCACCAGGGGGCGCCAGTACTACCAGGAGGCGGATGAGGATGATTGGTGCTAGCATGGCTTTAAACAACGACAAAGATTGCAAGGTTCTTGCAGATTTTTATGCATTTTAGGAAAATTTTGATGAGTTTTATCATCTTTTGCAAAAGCAGTAGTTAACACTGTTGTTGTATGTATGTATGCATCTGTTTTAAACAAAGAGGAAGAGAAGAGTGCCAGATGATGAGAAGATAAAAAACAAAGAAACCGCCTTTTGAGAAGAAAAGTGGAAAAGAATCATTCCAGATTTTAAGATACAAAGAGCATAAATATTTTATTTTAAAAAAGGCAAAATGGTAAATGGGTATCAGCCTGTGCTGTTGTTGAATTCGTCAGCGTCTTGTTGAACTGAAGGCGAGAGGCCCGCGGTGGTGTGGAAACGAGCACGAGAGAGGCACCGCGTTTCCGCTCTCCGTGCTGGGTGGCGTAGCGGCGGTGAACAGATGCCAAACCCCCTCCGCCGCCGTGCGCGTGGGCGCGGGACTCTGCCGGGGAGCACGCCCCCACTGGCCACGCACTCCCGCGTCCTCTGTCCTTCTCCGCTTCGGTCCGTTAGTATTTCACTCTCTGTAACCCTCGTCGCCAGGCACGCCGGCCACACCTCCCCTCTCACCCCTTCCTGCACGGCAGCGCCGCCGGAGTGACCGCGAGGAAGGAGGGGACAGAAAAGAGCCCAAATGTTATTTGTTTTATATCGAGCTGTGGTAGAACTTTTATCTTTTCATTGTGTGCATTTTTGTAAATTGTATAAAAAAAACAACAAAACACAAAAAACAAAGTGTTTTATGTCAATGGCTCATAGCTCACTTTCATGCCAGGTCTACTGTTTCTTACTGACTGCTCCAGTTGTTCAATACCAAGTGCCTAACCTTTTAAATATCTCACCGTGGCGATGCCACCACTTTCTTCAGCGCACGCAGCCTGGATTGCTGGCGGAGGGCCGGGGTGTTAGTCAGGGCGGGACCTGGAGGCGCCTGGTGGAGCTCAGAGGAAGCCTGAAAGACGATTTCTCTTGTGGGGTACAGAGGGGAGCAAACGAGAGCGGGGCGTGGGAGTTTTCATTTGGGTTTTTTACTGAAACTTAAATAAAACTTGAAACTTGGGAAGACGCGAAAATCCCAGCGCAAAAGCTGCACCGTGGAGCCTGGAGGGAGTGGGGCATTATTGACACAGTTGCATGTTCAAGTCTTTAATTCGGTTGTCAGAGGATATGAACACATACTGTATGGTGTATACTTATTTTTGTTGTGAGGATACTTGGAGAAAGCATTGCTAGCTATTGCCTTTTATTTAAATGTTATATTGCTATGAGAGAAAGGTGGAAATATATATATATACACATGCACTTTGGGTGAAGTGTGGGTGGGACAGAGAAATACAGATCCCTGATGAGAGTCTGGTTCAGCAAAGGTCAAGGAAGGGTCAAGACTGTTCCTCCTGCTGTTGAATGTTGTGTTAAACGTCTGTGGTGTTTCTCCATCACCAAGGGATTCCCCTGCTATTGCCCACCTCGTGCATCACATCCATGTACCGTTGCACCGTCTGTCCTTTCTGTGACGCAATGCCGGCGCGCACAGGCGCGGATGCCCACGCCGAGGTCCGGTGACGCTGTCCGTCGGGGAGTACTGTCCGTGCTGGTTCCGTCCGTCACTCCTACTCGCTGTGAGCTGCCAGCGTCTCTCCAGTCGCAGGGGCGATCGCGGCTGTCCGGAGTCCCGCCCTTTGCCGCAGCGAGGGGGTGCCTGCCTTGCTCCCAGCTTTCTTATCGTGCAAGAGGACCCCGTTCTTCACGAAGCAGACGACTGGCGAAGGCGGTTTTTCCGATCGATCGATCGATCGATCGATCAGCTGGCGCTCCCAGAGAGAGCGCGGCTGTGATCTTTGTCCCCGGAGGTGGCGGTGTTCCCTGGGGACGGGCGTAACGGCCCAGTAAGTCTTGACCGCTGCTGCTGCCTCTCATGAGGCCGGCCTGCTCCTTTCGGAGTTTTCTGGGCAGTTCCCGTGGCGTTCCGCACGACCGGACGATGGGAGGGACCCCAGGGAGGGGACACTGTGACCACAAGCTCTCAGAAGGGCTCTGGCTCTGTACATTTCCTGAAGCAGGGTGTTGACCATTGTCAAGTAGGGCTATGCAACACGAGAACACTTCAAATAAACTTCATCCATTCTGTAGCTTTACCTGCTGGGTTTTCCAGATTCAGGCTTCAGCATGATTGTGACCAAATGTTTTATAGAAAAGTTTTAAAAAAAAGCTAACAAAAAATAAAGCATAAAGGCACAATGATTATTATAAAATACTATAAGGGAAAAAAAACAGGACATTTTGAGAGACGTTTGGCAAGTTGATATTATCGCTGATAAATGCATGCATCAGATATACCCACTTTGACAACTGAAAAGAGAAAAATAGTGTTTGTTTTAAATGTATTAAAAAATCACAGTTTCTGGGGCGTACCCTTAAATGTAATATCAACCAAGGGGTACTTGGAAATTCAGAGGACGACCTAATGATTTATTGTCTTCTGTGGGGTAGAGTATGGAATTATTTCTAGTTGACAAAATGAACAAATACTTCAGATTCTTGTGCATTCTTTCTTTTCTTGTAGCCACAGAGCATCCTTATTTAATGCCATAGTGGGGCTAATGCCCAGATATGCTCACCTTCTTCTATGGCAGGTCTTTAATCTTTAATGTAGCGTCTGTATTTAAAAAACAGATCAAGCATATCTCCCCCAAATCCCTACCAGTCGGTTGCCAAAACTTTGAACTGCGCCCATCGGTTGCATACCAGTTCCAGTTTAGTCGTGGCAGTACTCTTTGAATAAGTAATGTTTGCATGTTATATTAAAAGTATGTGCATGTGAAAACAAAGAAACATTGTTTAGCTTCGTACTTTTTGATACAATGTATTCATCAGTTGTTAATTTTTAATGATCTTTGATATAAATTGGGGGTTTGTGGAAAAAAGGTAACAACAAAACTTTATATTAAAAAAAAAACAGTGTTGGAAATGATTTTAGAAAGTTCCATCCATGCAACACGACTGGAACTAACTTTACAAAATAAAAAGGTCCTGTGATTGAGTAGTTTGCTGCCTGATTTCTGTTTTTCAGCCAGACTTTGAATTCTGCAGTTGTTTCTACAGTTACATTTTGTATGAAGCGAAGTCCTTGAACTAAAAATTAAATAAAACTTAGAAAAAACACCACATTGCTATTCTTTATTTCAGCTTTATTTCAGCGTGGCTGTCGCTGATCGCTATTGCTTGGAAAGGTATCGAATTACTGTTCTCACGGCCTTTTATGGTTGGTAAAATTGTTAGTCTGCCATCTATCCATTTTCCAACAGTTTTTCCCATTCCAGGTCGCAAGGCAGGGTACACCCGGGACGGGACACCAGTCCATTGCAGGACACACACAGACACACTGGGGCCAGTTTTGCCAGAAGCCAAGTAACCTACAGTATTGTATTGTACAGAATGCTTTTGGACTTTTATAGGCAGCTGGAGCTTCAGGAAAAAAACCCACACCAACACGGTGAGACCATGCAAAATCCACACAGACAGCACCCGGGTCCAGAACTAGACCCAGGGCCCCGGTGCCACTGTTCCGGTATCAGTGAGCTTCTACACCTACCTCAGCAGGTAACCTTTCATTTAACCGGCGTTGTCTTGTCCAATCTGGGGGGCAGAAGTTAGTCGCCTCCGTTATTCTGCACCTGTCGGCGCGCCGGGAGCAGCTGGGCGGTGCGCGTTCACAGGTGTGCGGGCGCTGTCACGCTGGGGCTCCGGGACCCCCGAGGTGGGAGGGGCACTAGCCGCCCAGCGGCCGAAGCGGATTGGCCGGGGCGCCGGGCAGTGGGCGGGGCCCCGCGGGTGGTATAGCGGGGCTGGGCGCGAGGGGCCGGTGAGTGGAGGTGCGTCGCCGTCGCGGCAGGGTCCCAGTCGCTCTCCTCACGGCTCTGAGGGCAGATTAAAAATTACTTCTCCCAGCCCCGCTGCCCAGAGAACCGGCACCGACACTCCTCAGCCATCCCCACACGACAGCCCCAGCCGCTCCGCCCGAGTGTCGCCACCCCGGCATGAGGTGAACTGGCGAGGCCGGCGAGCCCCGTCGACGCAGACGCGGGGCGAGTTTTGTCGGGCGAGACCGGCCGTGGAAATGTCGCCGTGCCGTGGGAGTACCCGTCTCCCCCGACGCGGGAGTTCCTGAGCCGCGTTTGCCCGGGACCTCTAGTGGCTCGGGGAGTCCGTGCCCGGTGTCCGGAGCGGCGAGCAGGACCGGGGCGATGGCGGGGCTGGCGCGGCTGCTGTGCGCCCTGCTGGCGCTGCGGTGCTGCCGGGCCGGCCGGCGCGACTCGGCGGAGCTGGGGTCCGGCGCGGCGCCTCCAGGTAAACACAGCCCGGACGCGAAACACGGCGCCTCTCGCCACCTGGGGGGACAACCCGGCGGGTACCGGGAGCTTGTAAACGAGCCCATCTGGGCGATACCTGTCGCTGTTCTCGGCGACCCGCCAGTCACGGTTACAGCGAGGGTCCTGTTATTATTTGAAGTTATTTCTTCTTTTGCTGATGCAAACGTGCAGCGTTTTCGATTCTTTTAAGTGTTGTTGTTGTTGTTGTTGTTGCTGTTTTGTGTGTGAAACCAGCGGGTGGTGCAGGTGGGATGGGCGGCGTGGGTGCCGTGCGCGGTACCGGTACCGGTGCTGCTCACGAACCTTCTGGAACCAACGAGCTCGAACTGTCCGTGGCGCAGCTCCGAGCTTCAAGACCGGTTTCTGGGGAAAAACAGTCGTGTGTTTCCCGACGGAACTTCTTCATCCACAAAGGGGATAAAAAATACTTTTTGTAAAAGTGACGAGTTAGTGGCGCCCGAACATGTTATATCGTCCTTGAAAACACGGTAAGAAGCGTCTCCGATCTGTCGCATTCCCACTCTCGACATTCAGAATTGCTCCTGGAGAGAAAGTCGGTGTCTGTGATGGAAAATAATTTCACGTCGGGTCGAGCCCGCCCGTGTTACTCGGGTGTTAAATGTGTGTGTGTATATATAAATAAATAATGGAATGTATTGTTTTCAGCATCCTGCCTTAATTTATTTCGCCACAAAGTTGTGGACGACTTTTATTCAGTTATAAACCCACATCCATTAAAGTCATGACACTTAGATTCTACAAAAGTGAACGTAATGAATTATCAAGTTTACTGTAGATGTAGACGCGTAGGGAGAAACTGCTGTTGTCATTCTCCGAGGCGTGTGTCAACGACTCCTCGCACCACGCGTTCGCATTGGCATTACACGTTTACTTCAAGCTCCGAGCTCCTGCTGTAACACATGGTTCTGCGATTCGTACCGGCGTTTCCGCGATCCAGCACGTCACCCTGGGCTGTTGCTCGCCGTCCTGCCGCTGGGCGTCGCTGTGGGTCGATCTTTGGGCGCTGCGCTCGCCCACCTGTTGCACCGAAGACACTTTCTGTCGGTTTCGCGTCGAAAACGCGGGATACCTCCCCATCTTTATTTGAACCGTGTCATGTAGGGTTTTTTTCTTTGAATTTACTTGACATGGCATGATTTCAATTAACCCTCCCCTTAAGCGCTCTTACGGCTCAGCAGAAACACCCCCCCATCCTTAGTGGCCGCAGAGAGTGTTAGTGTTTGCTGTCCCAGACCACAGCGTCAGAATCGGGTGTCTATGTGCTGGGCACGCACACCTTGAAATGATCAGCGCTTGTTCAGAAAAAGTATTTATGAGGCTTTTGACAGGAGTTTTGCAAAAAAGCAGGAGTTTTCAGTATCCACTTAAATGTCTTTTATCCACTTCTCTTTTGACATCGCCACAGGCATGGTAGCCGTATGCCAGACTCTTTCTCGTGCAGTCAAGCCTCTCCTGGGACTGCAGGACCCGAACGGCACTGTGGGAAGGCTGGTGTGGGGTCGCTCAGGGGTCGTGTGTTCTAGACTGGCGATTAAACCGAGGAGCCCAGGTTCTACGACACTTTCACCATGTTTTATGACGCTGTCAATCTCTGCTTGCTTGGTTAATAGTTTTTAAGATTACATTCTTTCTCCCTTGGCCGGTGTGTGGCTTAACACCATGCTGAGCTTTGTTTACTTTGTTTATGTATACAGAACTGTGTCTCTGTATAAAAACGCTCTCGGGCTCTTGAAGAGGCGGTCCTGCGGGGATACAGAAGGGCCGGGTTTCATCCTGTGCGGGTCGGCACGTCGTGGAGCTCGTTTCGCTGCGCCGGTTCCCACAGCTCTTCCGTGAGAGCCAGCCCCCGTTGTGATGGAACTGAACGTGGCTCGCCCGGCGAGAAAGTCTTGCCCTTATGTGGGGAAAAAACAGACATCCGCAGAGTGCTCCCCGGTGGTCCTCCGATTCCTGCAGGAGGTCCTCCCTGGTCTGGCTGCAGTGCCGTTCGGAAACGGCCAGTGGTTCTCAGGACCCTCCTGGGGGACAGTTATCTGCCAACAGCTGCTACAGACAGCAGTTAACCGAGGGTTGTATGGCGTGCAAGGGTGATACCAAATTGACTGGCCAAGTGGGGGGGAAAAACAAAGTGCACTTTTGTTAATGCAGGAAGGTGAATAGCTCTCTCCCCGTTTGCAAAGCCGGCAGAAGATTAGGATCGCGCTCCAGCCCTTCAAATTGCAGGTCAATTAGCGCCTTCTGGCCAGAACAAGATGAGGCAGTGGGCAGTGGGTTGGGGTGACCTGAGTGCGGGGTGATGACGAGGTCAAGGGTTGGTATTTGGTGGCATGGAACCACACCGCCTTCGGGCTCTGTGTCCACGTGCCGTGGTCCTGGGAAACGGTCTCATGGGTCCCACAAAAACATCCGGACTGTCAGTGCGGAATACAAAACGTCAGCCTAGGGCAGAAACCAACCTGAGCGGTTGGGCGCTATTTTTTGTTTTTGCTGTAAAATTTGAACGGTATGCAATTGTTTTATTTGAGTAGCGGAATAACGTCCTTGAAATGCACGTATAGGAGGGTCTTTGAGTTACCTGCTCAAGAGTATATCACACGAGGCTTCTGTCTGACCTCTGCACAGAAGGGAATGGTGCTAGACGGGGCGTGTGCAACCTGATATCTCCCCATTTCGCCCGCAGATCAAAGCCCTGGCTCTCTGTCTGCAGGGAGGAATCCTGGGGTAATCTGTATTCATTTAACAATTTATACTGACCTTGACTGGCAACACTGGGTTTGCACTTGTCCTGTCGAGTGTGTGAAGGACAGAACGCGTTCCCCGTCACAGGGAGATTTGCTCACCGTGCCTCTAAGCATCTCCACGGCTGAGGCAGTTCTACCGCTTCCCATTGGCAAGGCGGCAAGGCGCGTGCAGCCGGTACTCGGTCCTTGTAGCTTGCACGTGGCGTCGGCTGTCGACTGCCAGAAGCTCCAGTGTGCTGCAGCCTTCCCGTCGGTAAACAAGCAACAGGGAAGAGTCCAGCACTGGTCCGGTTCCAACAAGCCCCGCCTTCCCTCTGAGCGAGCTCCTTCACCGCTCATAAATGCACCCTGCTATCATCTTCCTGGGGTGCGCGACCGCCCCCGTTTCAAAGAGACGCCGTCTCGGGGGTTCCCTCTCCTGTCCTTCGCGGTACCTCCGAGGGTCTCAGGGACCCCAGACGTCCTCGACATTAGACGCTCTCTGTCCGTCCCCCTCCTCTCTTTCTCTCCAAGGAGCACGGAAACATCACTTTTGAGGTCCTCCACCCCCGAATGTGCGTACCGGCGCGTCTCGGTTATGGAACCCCGTCGTGGACAGCAGTGCGTTCTGAGCTGCCCTGGCGCTGCCCACCCTGAGCATGGTAATTTACAACACTGTGGGGCAGGTGGATTGTTTGTGGTGGAGCAGCTGTAAAATTAATTCCCCCATATCGCTGCTGCTGTGTGGGGCGTGTGTGTGTGTGCTGGATGACATAATGTTGTTTCAGCGCTAGTGTTACGCTCATCAAGAGCACCCCACACCGGTGTCGCACAGGATCGGTATTGAGCCGCCACCCCATCCCCCCTGGTCCCCTCGGTGACTTGAAAGCCCAGTGGCTGACCCACACTGTAACCGGGCCGAAAAAAAATGGCCGTGATCCGTTTCTCATGTGGATTTATACGCTATCGGCCACTCGGGTCCCCCTTTACAGTCGTCAAGTGCTGGGGTGTTTCTTTACATGACAAACAAGAGACGTGGGCAGCCTGGAATGGAGGGGGACATAAATTTAAAGGTTTTACCTGCAGGTGTGGAGCTGTCAGGTCCCCCCTTCCCCCCCGACACCGCAGCTCTCTGGTTTCTCTCCTGCGGTGGTGGTGGGTGTTGAAAATGACAGTGATGTCAGCTGTGAAAACACCGCTTTATTCGAGAGCGTTCCCTTTCTAGGTGGAAGGAGAAAGCAGGTAGTAGAGTTTGCAGGGGTGTCAGTGCTTAAGGCAGCATCTCTCCAGAATGTGTGTTATGGGAAACAGTTTAGTCCAAAGAAGAGTTTTGGCACTGACCCTCGATGAGGTTATTGTTGTTAGATAAATGTAGATTAGACTGTTAGGCCAGCAATTGAAGTGTCAGACAAAGGGTTTCCATTCAACTATGGAGACTAGAGTTAAATAATAAATTCTTGCAGTGGGACATTTAAGGAAATGTCTCATTATAACATGCAATTATTATTTTATTACCTCACAGGAGCATTGCTGCGCTATAAGGCTTCACTGCAGGGGGGGTCTGATTGGATGTCTGAGCATCGGTTATCAACACATCAGGTCTAGACTGAGGGGCACAGCCTCAGCAAGTGTCGCTGCAGTGTCTGCTGGTTCTCCGACCAGGAGAAGCACCAGCATGGCAGTTGTTTAGAGAGATGGAATGTAATTAACATGGAATGCTTAAGATGCCTGCTCGGTTATTTCTGGTTTCGGGATTTTCCTCGGTCGATTTGTGATGGCTGTGTGTATCGATGTTCAGACTACTGCAGGCAGCACCCCGCAAAATGCCAGAGCGCAGGCTGAGCTCCACAGCCCAGCCCCGGGTTGCGTCATGAGCTGATTGGGTGGGCGGCGGTTCACACCTGACACGGTGCCCCTCTGAGGCAGGTGTGGCAGTCGTCCTCCGGTGCTCTTGGC